TGAGATTCCCGAGCTCGTAGCTTTACAGCCGAGATACATCTTTCAACGAAAATCTTGCGCCTGCAACCTATAGTAGCGGAATAGTCGTGCATTACAAAAAAACAGGGGAGCAAAATTTTAATCGAAACAAAAGGCAAATGAATACAGAAAAGTATAAACTATGTGAGTACGTTAAAAGAGCAGAGTTATTTTTGGAGCGAAAAGTAAGCGACGCGATGAGATCACTATGGTGCATGCCATTTCTAGCGCTCGAGACATGAGAGCCGGGACTCGTAGCCGCTCGGCCTTTGGGCCGCCTCCCAGCGAGTCGCGGGCCGCGTACTTGACCAAGATACACCACGCCGCTTTGTCGCCGCGAACCATTTGTCCGAATGTTTGCGAAGCTGAGGCACATGCAACGCTGCGGCGCCTGACAACAACTGCGCGCTGCGGCGCGATCCCTTCGTTAACGCCGACGGCTCAACGTCGCGGCTTGAATGCACCTATGACATGCCTTCGTAATCTATCTGCTAAGCTGTTGTCAGTTAACGCCCTTTTTCAAGTGCAGAGATGTATTGCCGCGAATCATTTGTCCGAATGCCTGCGAAGCCGTAACACCATTCGGCATATCCAACGCTGCGGCGCCTGACAAGCACGCAGTTGTCGTCACCCAAACGCTTCGCAGGACGCTGTCTTTTGGAAAGCGGGGCCAGGAAACATGCTGTGCGCTGGCAGTATTGTTTGCACAGGCTGGTACACAGCAAAACTGTACCACCGGGCATGTTGCTGCTGAAGGTGACCTAACGAAATAAAATACCCTGAGCTGACATCTTGACTAGAGAAATAAATTTATCGAAGGAACTACGAGTTTCAAGATAACTGCCTGGGTGACAGCACATTTCTGCTCTTGAAAAATTGTGTTTGCAACTGACAACCGCTTAGCAGATAGACGTTGGGCCACCGGCGCTTTAGCGCCACTGCGCGCAGTTTGTCAGGCACCGCAGCGTTGGATATGACGAACGGTGTTACAGCTTCGCAGGCGTTCGGAAAAATGACTCGCGGCAACACATCTCCGCACTTGAAAAAGGGTGTTGGAAAATAACAACAGCTTAGCAGATAGATTACGAAGGCATGCCATATGCGCATCCAAGCCGCGACGTTGAGCCGTCGGCGTTTGCGAAGGGATCGCGCCGCAGCGCGCAGTTGTCAGGCGCCGCAGCGTTGCATATGCCTCAGCTTCGCAAATATTCGGACAAATGGTTCGCGGCGACAAAGCGGCGTGGTGTATCTTGGTCAAGTAAGTGGAACTCGAAGGCATACGCTGCAGTGCGAGTCAACGGAGCGAGCACGGGCGGCCAAATCACAGCGCACTCGGCTCTCGCGTCGCGATTGTTGATTCAGAGCTCTGCCTACCCCTATGACATGTGCGCGGGTGTTCATAAACGGCTCCTCTCGACTGCACGCGGGTCAAATGAACAAAAAATGGACAGCTAACAGCGCGATCGGAATCGGTAGCAACGGTAGTACTCACCTGGAAAACGACGCGCGAAGTGGCGTGTTGCCCGTCGGCACTCCCGTCGAGAAAGGCAAAATAAAGACACAAATACTATATATATATACAAGAAATATCGCGCGCCGAAGAGAATAGAAACACTTAGAAGCAATAAAAAAATACACTGGAATAGATAAAAATAAATAATAGAATCTAAAAACGGAGGATTAAGAGAAGACAAGCGACAAGACAATGCGATCTCAAGGCAGAGCGGCCAGGCGAGGGACAATCTCTCCCACATTTCCTCGCGCGCGGGCCGGGGCGCTTGAGGGATTTCGCAGAAGGTCTATGCATTATGCGGGACAAAAGGGTGTAAGACGACACCCTCCCCCCCCCCCCCCCCCCCTTTTTTTTTTAGAGTGTACAGGGTGAGATTTAGAAAATAAAACCCGGTGTTCTGGACCGCTTAAATAAACCACGCATCGAAGAGACCTGAAACTCCGCGAGAAAGCGCCGGTAGTGATGGTGATGAAGTGCAAAAAGTTGGAGCACGTGAGGATCAAAAGATACAAACGAAAAATAAAAATTCTTTATGAGCCGACGTCCACCTAAGCCTAATTTGCATTATACCGATATTTGAGATTATATGGGCGCCTGTAGTATTTTTTCAGTGAAAAAGCTTGTCAGTTTTAAAGACAATATTGTTTTCTTTCTTGCTCGCAAGTTTTTTCACTGACATCAATTGCTGCACACGCCCACAACCTCAAATCTAAGTTTGATGAATATTAGGCTTAGGTGGACGTCGGCTCATAAGTAATTTATTTTTCTTTTGTATCTTTTGATTCAGGTAATGTGATATGCATAACTTTCACATTTTATCACCAACGCTAGCAAGGATGTTATAAGTACTAGGAGGGGGCACGATGCAATATTGGTGAAGCCGTCATAAAAAAGTTTAAACGATATTGTGCCCAACGTGACCGCAGATCACTCTGGCAAATGGTGCGCGTGACATGTCACGTGTGAGATGGATGGTTTATTGTAGAAGGACTCCTTGCAGGCTTGCGCGCAAGGAGGTTATAAGTACAGGGTGTCACAAAAGAAAATTTACACTGTCTTTTTTACCGCAAAAAGAAACTAGGCATCGCCGAACGCTCATTCTCCGCCCAAAGGTAGAGCTAGGGGTCACAACCAGATGCCAAAGTTTCAACCCGATCCGATAACTTAATCAAAAGTTATAAATGATTTTCTGAAAATTTCAATGAGAAAATGGCGGCCGACGGAGTTTTCAAACACATGGGGCTCTATGGCACCAGAAACCGAAAACGGGCGAAAATGGGTTCCATTTTCCCATTGAAATTTTCAGAAAACCATTTATAACTTTTGATTAACTTGTCGGATCGGGCTGAAACTTTGGCGTCTGGTTGTGACTTTTAGCTCTACCTTCGGGCGGAAAATGAGCGTTCGGGGATGCCTAGTTTATTTTTGCCGTAAAAAAAACCGTGTAAATTTTCATTTGTGACACCCTGTACTATACTCCGCCTCAGCCTAAATGGACTAAAGCCCGATGCTACAGGCCGCCGGGTCCAATCACGAGCCTGTTAGAAACCACATGGTATATTTGCTCGGTCGTATGTATCAGTGCGCCAAGATGCGTCATGCGGAGGTGACTTTTTCGTCTGCTTATTGAGCCCTCGCGGCGGCTTCGTCTGCTTGCTACTACTGAAGACTACAAAAAGAGATTAAATACCATCTAAAAGCGATAGGGCGAAGAGAACCCGGGATCAGAGCCAGTGGCCATTAAGAAATGAAGACGAGTCAGGTAGAGTGTTTGACACAGGAGCGTATGTATGAATTGCGAGGGGAAGGGATATCCGGGTCAGACAAAAGTTGGAGTGGATTGGATTATCATGACTGAGGCGAAACAACTTTATGTCATTGTTGCCTGCACGCCGTCCAATTTCTCCAAACAGTTGACATGTTTACGAAATATGGCCAAGAACGTTTATGAAACTAAATATTATGTGCCTTTATTTTGCCAGTATAAAATAGCGCACTATTATAGCACAGAACTACATGCGTTAGATTAATGGTCTTTGCACTCTGCGTATCGGCATTTCTCTCGCGCACTCCTTCGCAATGCAGATGCAAGCTTTTCTGAGGCAGTGCTCCGCCCGCCAGCCTTCGGGCCCTAGTTCATCGTAGGGTGAGACATGAGTATAGGAGGGGGCACGTTGCAATACTGGTGAAGCCTAGTCATAAAAAATTTAAACGATGTTGTGGCCCAAAGTGACCGTAGATCTCTCTGGCAATAGGTGCGCGTGACATGTCATGTGTGAGATGGATGGTTGATTGTAGAAGGATTCCTTGCAGGCTTGCGCGCAAGGAGGTTATAAGTACTAGGGGGGGGGGGGGGGGGGGGGGGCACGTTGCAATACTGGTGAAGCCTAGTCATAAAAAGTTTAAACGATGTTGTGGCCAACGCGACCGTAGATCTCTCTGGCAATTGGTGCGCGTGACATGTCACATGTGAGATGGATAATTGATTGTAGAAGGACTGCTTGCAGGCTTGCGCGCAAGGAGGTTATAAGTACTAGGAGGGGGCACGTTGCAATACTGGTGAATAGAGTGCCTTCATACACACGCGCTTTTGCTTGAGTGGTGACATCTCAGCCATTTTGCCGCCCAATCGTTTTTTTTTTATGCATTTTGAAGTGCGCGCAATGCGGTGTCACTCAGCTCGAGCGCGTAGCTCTGGCTAATGCATAAACGTCATTTTACCGCCCAAGTCACGCACCGAGTGCGCGAGAGCGTCACGCGCTGGCACACTCGGGGCGACAATGGATGTCTTCACCCTGAGACAAACAGACATGTAGGCACCCTACTGGTGAAGCCTAGTCATAAAAAATTTAAACGATGTTGTGGCCAACGTGACTGTAGATCTCTCTGGCAATTGGTCCGCGTGACATATCACGTGTGAGATAGATGGTTGATTGTAGAAGGACTCCTTGCAGGCTTGCGCGCAAGGAGGTTATAAGTACTAGGAGAGGGCACGTTGCAATACTGGTGAAGCCTAGTCTAAAACAAATTTAAACGATGTTGTGGCCAACGTGACCGTAGATCTCTCTGGCAATTGGTGCGTGTGACATGTCACGTGTGAGATGGATGGTTGATTGTAGAAGGATTCCTTGCTGGCTTGCGAGCGCTCCGTCCGGTAGGTTTAATAAGATGAAGGCTAGATGAAGGCTAGCTACGGTCACGTGATGTGGTCACGTTGGCCTGATAAGTGAGGAGAGTAAGGAGGAAAATGAGAAAGAGGCGCTCGAGGCGTCAAGGGAGCATGGCTTGTGGAGGCTACGCGGCTGACATCATGCCCTCTCCTACCCTTCTATCCTCCTTGACTGCTAGAGTCACATTCCTACGGAGTTTCAGCTTTGTGCGATGCGTAACTTATTTATACGGACCAAAAAACCCGGTTCCATTTTCTCAGTCTCACCTGAGAATGCCGAATTAACATGGCTAGACTTACGCGCAGAATAGGCCTAGCCACCTTGTACAAGCTGGGGTCGCTGTGGATGACCACGGACAAGTCCGTCGGAACCGGACCCGACCGGCTGTTCTGAAGCCGCAAGTGAAGCAGGTACTCGGGTCCCAGCCCCTGTACCTGCGGTGAAGGCAGAGCCGGTTTAAGATTCGAGGGCCCTGTTCAAGAAAATGAGGGGGTCCTCTTTGTTTTGTAAATCACCATTTTTTGGTGCATTTATTTCAACGAAAGAATACCAAGTAAACTTCTACATATATTTCAGGTTTCGTAAGGCGGTGTTAATTAATATAAACATATATTTATGTAAAGCTTCTCCTATATATGCTGAATTACCATCACACTATACCAAACTATTTTATTGCTATGCTTCCTGAGTTGAACACGATAAGCGTCAGTTTTCTGGGGCATTCACGTGATAACAGAGATCACGTGACCATTTACGTGGACTCCCTTCCACAGTTTTTGTTTTTATTTTGATCGTGTTCGTCCTCCTCTCCAGGGACTCGGATCGTAACCGGAACCTAAACCGAAAGCCGTCTAGGGGCGGAAGTTTTTTGGTAAACGTTACCGGAACGAAACCGAGTGACCAATATATTGGGGACTTTTAGCAAACCGTTACCGTGTTCCGCGTGCCGCACTACCGGAGCCCTTGAAGCATGCTTTTAATTAAGCGCTCTTCCCACGGTCACGGTATCACCCAGCACGCATAAAAGCATCGGTTCGGTTTAAGTTATGTAAATAGCAAATTGAGGGAGAGACCTCTAGGTGGATTCTTCAAATGGCATCGGCATCTGTAGATGCAGACGGCATCGGTAAGTGGTTCTTTTCGTTAAAAATTAGAGGCAAAGTTGAATTTTTTCCAGATGAATAGGAAATTCAGTTTCGGTGGACATGCAATTGACAGAATAGTTCCTGTTGAATCAATTGTGTATTTCTGAGTTTATCGTTTTTATAGTTTATAAATAACCCCTTGATTCGGCTTCGACTACAACAAAATAAAAAAATAAAAAAAATTAGTCAATTCTTTTTTTGTAAGCATGATTTACGCACCGGCCATTTTCACAAAAAAAGTTGGTCGCAGTGTACCTGTCAAAGCTTTTGTAAAGTAGATCTGTTCGAATTAAAATCAAACACACTGTATGCGCGCCATATAACCGCTCATTCACACTGGAAGCGAATCCGCGTTCGCAAATAAGGGGTTGCTTACGCTGTTGCAGAAAGATCCAGTACAATTGCACGCGCACTCGATGACATCAATTGTGCGCGTGCAATTGTACTGGATCTTTATACAACCGCGTTCGCAACCGCTTTGCGAACGCGGATCCGCTTCCAGTGTGAATGAGCGGTTAGGGAGCTATATAAATGACCCGAAAGGGGAAAGTATCCCGCAGGATTTGAACCCACCACTGTGAGATTGTGAACCAAATGTTTTACCTGCTAAACTATTAAGAAAAAAAAAAAGATGTTTGCTTTTTTATGCGACAGCAAACATCTTCGCGCCTCCACAGGCGGCACAATCGCGGGTTGGGGCTTGGCGTACACCGGGCGCGGTCGCGCGCCTCGAGGCTTTGCAGACGTGTTGACGAGTGAGGACGGTTCCTCGAGCTCCTGTCATGCTGCGCCATCTTACGGTGTTTGTGAGAAATAGGAACGAATCTTCGACACGCTTCGTGCCGAGGTGGTGCCGTTCAGACACATCTCTCTTCCGCTGTGGCCACGACTGCTACGAAGCAGACGGCCGCAGAACGTATGCGAGCTTATCGGGAACGTAAGAAATGGCAAAAGCAACAGGAAGAGCCTTCACTGCAGGGGGCCCGGAGACGCATATGCCGACAAGTGTAAGGCCTATGAGACATTCTGCGCCTATACCAGTCTTTGTCAGCATGGTCAAACTTGTTTATTTGTCAAAAATATACATAAACGACTAATTTTTCTAAGAGTCCCCAAAAGGCCGTGCGCGAAGTGCGCAAAGAAGCATAAAAACGTTTTGTACCTGCACGCTCACGTCTTTATTCCCCGCAGCATTGATTAGGTGACACTGAAGTGAGCAAGAGAGAGGAAAGCAGAATAGGGCAGTTGCTCGCCCGTCTATTCACCGTCGTCTGCTACGGCCGGTTCCGTACAGCGCATTCCCGGCAATCTTATCGGCGCTGAAGACAGCACTGCACGTTTTGCAAAAGGTCTATTCAGCTGGCATTATCCTACTCGGAACTCGGGAAATTGCGCTTTTGCGATGACTACATTTATCCTGCCGGGCTATGTACCACCGTTCCAAAATGACTGACTGCTGACTTAAATAATGCTGCTTATTTCCTTATTCAATTGAAGTACCTCTACAGAAGTACATAAAATACATGAAATATAATAAATAAAAAAAATATAAATAAATGTTGCTAAAGTTGCAGCTTGGGTGAGTTGGCACGACATACTTTAAAAAGAAGGAAACAGCGCAAAAAACGACGGATCGGATGAAGGAAGACACGGACAGAGCGCTGTTTTCATCTTTCAAAAATATATAAATACAAAAATAAGCTTAAACGACGAATAAGCATATAAGTAAATACACATGAGTTGACAAAAAAAGACTATATGGTTCTATTGTTTTATGTGAGTTTATGAAATCTTGTTACATCATTTTCGTTGGCTATGGGCTGGCAGGTTATTCCAATCGAATATTGTTCGTGGTATGAATGACTGTGCATGATGTTTTTGTTGTTAAGGCAAATAGGGAAGCATTCTATTTTTCTTTTTACATTGCGTTTACATTTTTTTTTGTGTGATGAATAAGTCATACTCAACTCTTCAAGTAGATCGTAATTCGGACGTAGACATGACTCAACGAAACACGAGGGTACCTGTGCGGAGAGCTCCAGGCTGTGCCCCTGGTTCGGCGCGCTCACGGGCTGCAGATTGGAACCCAGAGCCCTGGCGTAGTGGCGCGCCGCCGTGACCCGCAGACGCTGCAGGTCCCGCTGGAAGCTCCGGTGCATCGCTGCATCGTTCAGACCCGTACACTGAGACATTGGCGTCCGAATCTGACTATACGGTACCAGGAACGCGTCTTCAAGTAATGTGTTTAACGCGTCAGAAAAAAAAGAAGAAGAAAAGTTTTGTAATTTTTGTTTGATGACGTAATGGTGTCGCGCTGTCGCCAACCGCGATCCTGGCGGTGTGACAGTGGTGGTGGTGGACGTGGCTGACGCCTGCTCTGCCGCAGGTTGCGCTACAGCTTTGCGGTCCACGGAAGCTTCGGCGACTGCAGGAGTTGGGATGCCGCGACGACGGTGACATTCGCATTTTCTCGTGCTTTTAAAGCGGTTGCTGTATAGACCTTTTCTGTGTACTCTCGCCCCCAGCAACCTAATAGGCGTATCCGGTATGGGTGACGAAAAAATAATCCAACGTTTCAACCTGCAAATAGTGAAAAAAATAAAGGGGAGGCAAAACGAGAAAGTGTGACGGTTACGCTTATATCTTAAATGCCTTCTATTGGCGTGGCAAAGGCAAAACAATGTTTTCGCCCATACTGGAAGTGACGACAATTCAAGATGGCGGCACCCTTGCGGAAAAGGTCTATAGGGCCAATCAATTTTAGGAGCCGCGTAAGCACGAAGTGTGTAGGCCACTCAGTCCGTAACCGCTAAACAATCTGAAAAAAAAAAAAATGTAATTGGTGCTAGGGATTGGGCGCCTGTCACCGGCGTGGAAGCCGAGTGCGCCGATGATTGAGTTATGGAGCTAGCACGCAGGAACGGGAGGAGCGCAAGCAGGTGGTGTGAGAAAGTGCGCGGAGAGGAGAGGGGGGGGGGGGAAAGACAAGAAAGAGAGGAGCAGGAACCGGTGGGGGGTGGACAAAGAGCGCGCGGAACGAGGAGTGGAAAGGGCAGGAAAGTGCGCTTCCCCTCTCTTGGTGACCGAGAAAATTCAGCATCGCACACTTTTGAACACCAAGTAAGAGGAGGAGAGGGAAGCTGCTTTTGTAAGAATTTTGAGTGACGGGTTAATCTTCTATAATCTTCTGGGGGGAGAATAGCGACGCCTGTACAAATCTGTGAGGCACAAAGGAGGATCCTGATAAGAGGGGAGCTCCTTCTTCCCCTCTTCTTTGGAGGGCAACGGAAGTGACGTCCTGTGCAAGGAGCCTATACGCGTAGTGCTGAAAGGAAACGCGAGCAGCGTTATCAAGAAACTATGGTGTGACGTGGTCTGTTTCCTTATTAACTCCTGCCCTAGGCACCACCTGACCTATAAGCACCACCCACCCCATGCACCGAAAGACTGAGGGTCACTCTGCGGTTACACCCGAACTATGTACTACCGATCCTATAAAAGCTACCGATTTAAACGCGTTTGACAGAACGACCAAACATGAAACCATTTTTTTTTTCCAGAACGTTTACGCCCCACCGCCAGGATCGTGACATTCGACAGCATGACACACCGGCTTTCCTGACGTCATTTGTTGCCCCTTCGGTACACCATTCATGGGCGGATAGGGACGCTAAACACACCAGTCGTAGGGGAGTTCCAGGCAGCGTATACCGTGGCCCACTGCGTTACGACCACTTGTGGTTGTAACGACCGAGGTCCGCGCAACGCGTCGTAGCGGAACGCCAGGAGCCGTAATACAGTCGACCCAAACGCAGATGTTTGAACCAGCCTTCGTGCTGAGCCACGGGGTGTCGAGCTAGCAAAGCGCAACGACGACGACACGAAGATCTGTTGCGCAACAGCCCGTTTGACCGTAAAGGCCCGTTCGCACTCTTGCGACTGAGTAAGACCGAGAGAGACGAGACCGGTTTTTAAGCCTCTTGCGATCTCTTAGGATCAGCTCCGCTGCAGCGGAGCTGATCCTAAGTCGGAAGAGGCTGAAAAACCGGTCTGGTCTCTCTCGGTCGTACTCGGTTGCAAGAGTGTGAACAGTCGCAAGAGGCTGAAAAACCGGTCTGGTCTCTCTCGGTCGTACTCGGTTGCAAGAGTGTGAACGGGCCTTTAGTCCCGTGCGCCTAGACGTTTCCGCAAAAGAAGCTCGATAGCCAGTCATTGGGATGTACAACGTACCCCCCCCCCCCAAAAAAAAAAAAAAAAAAAAAAATAGTGGGGGTTTGTTTTGTTTTTGCAAAATTCAAGGACACCTTTGAACGCTTAAGGCCAGTTCACACTCTTGCAACCAAGTACGACTGAGAGAGACGAGACCGGTTTTTAAGCCTCTTGCGATCTTTTAGGACCAGCTCCGCTGCATCACATTCGGTCCTAAGAAGTTGCAAAAGGCTTAAAAACCGGTCTGGTCTCTCTCGGTCGTACTCGGTTGCAAGAGTGTGAACGGGCCTTTAGTCCCGTGCGCCTAGACGTTTCCGCAAAAGAAGCTCGATAGCCAGTCATTGGGATGTACAACGTACCCCCCCCCCCCCCAAAAAAAAAAAAATAGTGGGGGTTTGTTTTGTTTTTGCAAAATTCAAGGACACCTTTGAACGCTTAAGGCCAGTTCACACTCTTGCAACCAAGTACGACTGAGAGAGACGAGACCGGTTTTTAAGCCTCTTGCGATCTTTTAGGACCAGCTCCGCTGCATCACATTCGGTCCTAAGAAGTTGCAAAAGGCTTAAAAACCGGTCTGGTCTCTCTCGGTCGTACTCGGTTGCAAGAGTGTGAACGGGCCTTTAGTCCCGTGCGCCTAGACGTTTCCGCAAAAGAAGCTCGATAGCCAGTCATTGGGATGTACAACGTACCCCCCCCCCAAAAAAAAAAAAAAAAAAATAGTGGGGGTTTGTTTTGTTTTTGCAAAATTCAAGGACACCTTTGAACGCTTAAGGCCAGTTCACACTCTTGCAACCAAGTACGACTGAGAGAGACGAGACCGGTTTTTAAGCCTCTTGCGATCTTTTAGGACCAGCTCCGCTGCATCACATTCGGTCCTAAGAAGTTGCAAAAGGCTTAAAAACCGGTCTGGTCTCTCTCGGTCGTACTCGGTTGCAAGAGTGTGAACGGGCCTTTAGTCCCGTGCGCCTAGACGTTTCCGCAAAAGAAGCTCGATAGCCAGTCATTGGGATGTACAACGTACCCCCCCCCCCCAAAAAAAAAAAAAAAAAAAAAATAGTGGGGGTTTGTTTTGTTTTTGCAAAATTCAAGGACACCTTTGAACGCTTAAGGCCCGTTCACACTCTTGCAACCAAGTACGACTGAGAGAGACGAGACCGGTTTTTAAGCCTCTTGCGATCTTTTAGGACCAGCTCCGCTGCATCACATTCGGTCCTAAGAAGTAGCAAAAGGCTTAAAAACCGGTCTGGTCTCTCTCGGTCTTACTCAGTCGCAAGAGTGTGAACGGCGCTTTAGCCTCAGCCCAAATATAGCGCTGGCGGTCCGAACAAGATCCCGAAGCTTATTTTATAAATACGACTGGGCGTAGATTAAAACATTATCTCGATTAATCCCTACCCTTTAAGCGGACAATTAATTTAATAATTGGATGTGTTGACATTTGGACATAATATCTAAAAGAAAGTGTAACACTACACATTTTTATTTTAAATATTTCTTGCTATGTCAACAATGGCGAAATGTACAGCCTCGTCTAAAACTTAATGCTGTACCGCAAAAAAGAAAAAAAAAAAGAAAAAAAAAGACACACAAAAACAATTAAAAACGAAAACACGGACATCAATTCTTAGAATGAAGTATTTGTACATTCTTATTTAAAGCCTATGTTCACTATAGATTGCAATCATAGAGAATGCTAAGTGCACCGTGGACTACAAGAGTGCGCCCTGCTAAAATAAAATAAGTGCCCTCTAGTACTGAAGTAAGCATTTCTACTATCTCCTCGAAATTGCTATCCGCGATCCGAACCATTTAACCTGTTAAAAAGATTAACCAAAATTAAGCTATTAATAGACCAATCGAAAGGTTTTGTGCTACATTGTCAAGGCGAGCGTAGCTTCCACTTTGGTGCAGACCCGCACTGCTACGAGAGCGCGTGGCTTCGTCTTTTGCGCCACATTTGCAAGCGCTCGCGCAACTATAGCTTCGTCCGAGTTGGAACACTGTTAAATCTAAGCTATAGCTTTGACAACGTAGGGGGAAACAAATAAATAACTTATAACTTTTGAATCAGATAACGGCTAGTTCTGAAACTTTGGTACCTAGTTTGCTCCTTTTGGGCGAAGCGTTGGGCGATGCGGAGTTTATGTTTGAAGAAAAGAAAGAAAAAGCATGAGCCATTCCACTTTGTGAAGGTAGATGACCAGCGAAGCTGTTAAGCACACGATACACACATGACACAGCATTTTGAACAAAGGTACGAACACATTTATTGTCTTGATCGGTGGTCATCGTCACTAAAGGTACGCACACACGTGTCGAGGGCTATCGCCGCCCCGAGGAGCCGGAAGAAACTAGACACGTGCGACGGGACCGCCATCCGGCGGATGGAAAGGAAACTAGGCACGCAAACGGGGCTTGGAACGACGGCAAAGAGACTCTTAGTTTTTGTTGACGCACACGAAAAATTCATTGAGCTCTAGCCATAACTTAGATTCGTTGTAAAAACAGCAAAATCTGTTTTTAATTTCACAATCATTAAATCGAGCAACTGCTCAATAGTGTGACTGAAGGGCATGTGGGACTCGACCAGAATTTGGAGAAAACTCAGACTGACATGCATTTTAAAAGCACCTGCCCGTCAACGTTACCCCGCAGAGCACTAAGAAAGCCAACTGCTAGGATCTAATGCTCTGGAAATGACGAAACCGAAAATACGTTTAGAGTTGCAAACGAAATCTGCGATGGGCACTGAGCAACAAGTGAGCAGTTGAAACTTCATACTCAGTGTCGTAGACTTTCAGGTTTAAACATCTTTTCGACCTCGTCCTATTCCTCGCCATTCCCCTGCTTAGATGATTGGTTCCCCGAGAGCATTTTTTTTTCGCAGAGCACTCAGGGAACCAATTATCTCAATAAAAAAAGAACGGTTAAAGTACGGTCGGGCTGGTGTAAGTTATACATGATGATTGAAACCTGAGACTGTGGTTTGAAAAACGGAAACTTGTGAAGTAGGTTTTTATTCCTACTCCGCGAGTTTCCGTTTTTCAAACCACAGTCTCGGGTTTCAATCATCATGTACAATTATCTCCGCAGGGCCTCCCACCTTCGCCCGACCTCAACCAATGGCGGCGCTCGCTTCCATACATCGTCATCGCGCGTTCCCTCCGTGTTTTGTGTGTTGCGCTTTGATTGGTGTGGCCTTCCTTTCGTTCCGACGGTCCAAACACGGGGAGAGCTTGCATATCCCCATAGCTATGCAAATAGCTACCCCAAAAAATAAATTGGGGGAAAAAGTTCCTTTCCGTACTGACACTGTGCCTCAGTGTAGATTTGCAAACTTGCCGGCTGTTTATGACCCATTTCAGATTTTTAGGGAAATTTTGTTATCTCTATATGGTCAGGCAATCTGACTAGCTGGAGAAAATCGGACGAAGGGCTGTCTTCACACAGAACACGACTCCGACTTTTGTCGAGCATGATTTCGCGCTCCCATAGCGGACGTTAATCCGCTGTGCGTGCGAGCTTAAAATCGTCTGAGACAAACATCGGAGGGTGTGAGGACGGCCCTTTTACATGACCATTCATATAATTTAAAATATACAAAACAGAAAGCTCAATAAACGCGAGAGTTCACATTCAGCCATTGATACCCAAGTAACGTCTCGTTGTATCGGCTATGTTCATGCAACTGCCATATTCCTTCGCCTCTCGGTTTCGGCCTAAAATGCGCGTGCTTTCCTCTGGCACATCGAGTTGCTCACCGACTGAGTGCTCCCGTTCCCGCATGGTCTGGTCCACGAAGAGCTTGGTCTTTTTGGGCAGACTCCACTTGGCTGGACCAGGAGTCGGCGTGGCCACGGGTTCCTTCTGAAGTTGGGCGCCGCGCTTGAGGATCAGCACCGTCAGGCCGCCGCCTGCGACAGTACATCATCTGTCTTTCGAAAACGCCACGGGGCTTATCGGAGAGCCGCGTGGTACAGTCTATCACTATCTACGAGGACAAATACCGTCCTATATACCGCCTCCCCCTGCCATAAGGACAAATACATCTACAGGCAGGATGATTCAAAAGGAAATCAAAGACAAGTTCGTTTAATCAATCAACCTATATGCCCCCGGGCATGTAATTATGTAAAATCGTTTGAATCTTCTACATATCGACAAACTTCATTGGCGAAAACCAGAAACGTTGCGATTGGTGTGCTCGGTGAAGATCGCAAGCTTTCGTGATCCCCAAGATAAAGGGACTATAGGTGGCCGGAACCAGCGCAACCAACTCCTGGTTAACGTGTCTGGAGTAAGCGGATCGTGTGGCAATTGGAAGTGCAATTTCTGCTCGACTTCATAAGTCATGAATGTTGATATTACAATAAAACGCAGGCGCGAGAGCATGCTGTCAAACTAATATTTGTCAACTCGCAGTCACATGAAAAGCAGGCACTTTTATAAAGCGATACCAAATACTTTACTAGGGGGAATATAGGACACTCCCTGAGCACACATCTAAAAGACGACAACGAAGATCCGCGGAAGCATGCGTGACGGAGGCAGCGGCACGAGCTGTCTCGTGAACTGTTGCCTCCTCTATAAGAAACAACAGTTATGGTGGCGTCACGGATGCGTGGACACTTAGTGAGATTGATCTATTCACTTTTTTACGTCTGACCGTCGATACCGAGAGGCCGAGCAATACTGAAACAGGATGACAAATCCAGCCGCAGAAGGTGCGGCCAAGAACTCTACGATGGCTCCTGAAGGGGCCTCAGTGATAAAACGAAGCGGCAAAGTAAGTAGAGGACACATAAAAATGGCATATTAGTTATTTGGCAGAGAAACGTCTGTGAATAGGCGGCGTGTTCTGTTTTTTTAGAAGCAGCGGGAGCCCTTGCAGTGCCAACGTGGCCCTGCAGGTTGCAGGAAGAATAGGGTCACGTAACAGCAGAAGGAACTGGTGGACGCGGCATGTCCCTACACTGCAAGCTGCACCGACCTCATCATGCGTGTTGGCTGCCGCTACACTTGTAAGAGGTTGTACACGCTGTCAAGCTACTTTACTAAGCGGAGTCTTTACTGGACTGACCTTCCCCACGAGGCGTGCTTACCTGTGCCCACGAGCACCAGGGCGTTCTCCTCTCTGCCGAGGCGGCCGAAGCGCATGGCGGACACGTCGTCGTCCGTGTCCAGGGAGTCGACGGCCGCCCCGTCGCCGCTTCGGTGCAGGGCCACGGTCCGCCCGCGGAGGGCCACGGCCAGCAGGGACACGCCGGGACGGCACACGGGCGACACGCACAGAGGCTGCCCGGACAGCGGCACGCTCCACAGTCGTTGGCCCTGCGGCACGTCGACAGCCCCCACATCCTAAAGCCGCGGTCACATCGTGCAAAAGACAATCTGCAGACAACGTCTGAAGCGTGTTTCTTCCTTGTATGGACGGTCACATCGGTCATACACAAATTGTCCGCAGACATGTGTGAAGCGTAAACATGTGCATGAAGGCTTGGAACATGCCTTAGTCCTGTTCGCAGATAATCATGTCATCATGTCTGCAAAGCGTTTGGGAGAACCAACGGCTGCAATATATGGAGGGAGCAATTCTAAACGAATTACGAGGCTGCACATGTTCTTAAACGAAAAAACAAAATTAAAAAAATGAGAAAAAACGACAACACATTTTTTCATGCTGAATGCCACAGCGCAGACTATTTTTTGGTTGCCTAAACATACGTTTACCCTCGTAATTCACTGCAGATTGCAGTGATTGCCTCTCGCAAGTGCTCTGCGGGAGAGTAGGCGCTCCGGGTTATTTTGAGTGCATACGTTGCTACGACAAGACTTCGCATTGTTCCAGAGCACGACACGCCTCGCCGAGCAAAAGAGGTTGGCCGGTCTTGCGCATTAAACAGGAATCGTTTGGCTTGTAGTCTAATCCTGCTTGTACCATGTTGCCATAGAATTTTAAGCGCACGGGTTTCGCGCTCTGCCATTAACACCCAAAGTGATCATGTTCCAAGGGCCGATCATGGGCACAGCTTTCTACTGGTATCATGTGTAATGCCCTCATAGCCCTGGGTACCATTGTGCAATGCTCTGAGCTGTGAGATTGCCTCGTCCTCCCTTGCTAGCCCTTTCTACGGAGGTTCTCAGAATGCCGATTCACGGATGTCCTTTAGGCGTACACAGGGGAAAGATTTGTGTCGCCAGGTTTACCAACCGTGTGATATATATCGGTGATCTGGTTCTTTGTGAAGCCCAATCTGGCGCTATCGTGGTTGCACCACCATTTGAGTTCCACAATAGAAAAAGTAGACACCTCCGCGATAAGTGCTCCACAGGAACATGAAGACCATGCTGCTTGGTACTACACGGCCATCATCCACCAGTCTTTACCAAGAGTCAATGAACTAACACTTGGAGGGTACCGCGACGCACCTTAATGGAGTAAGCCCTGAGGACGTCGTCGGTGCACGCAACGACCAGCTGGCCTTCCAGGTGACATAGCCCAACGGCGGCAGCGCCAGGCTCTGCCAGAAGTTTGGCCGCCTTGTGGCCCCTGTAACGAGGAAATGATGTAACACATTGAACGTGGAAAAGCACACGATTCTGCACGAGCACTTAAAACAGCACATCTGATTTTCCTTTCTCAGAGAAGAATGCTTGTTTTTAAGGTTCGGCGTGTCCTCAGTGCTAAACACATGCTGTTAAGCTGTGTTTATTGTGATGACTTTCTGCAGTGGAACTTACAGAGATTGTGGGTACTTAAATGCGTCTCACGGCAGACATTTATGTCGCAGGCGCGCTGCTCATACATCATACAAAAGACTGCAAACACGAGTCACCGCAATATCCGTGGTTCGAATGCCACGTGCCAAGTTTCACCTTGAACTCATTGCCACGCGGCACTCGAAGCACGGATCTCGCGGTGACTCGCGTTCGAATCTCTATGCAGACCGTCTTTTGTATGATGCATAAGCAGTGCGAACCCGGCTTATGCCTGATTCACATGGTGCGAATAGGCCTGCGATTTCGCAATTTCGACGCCGTTCTTGCGGCACAACGCAGTTGCGGTGCGAATTCGACAAATTCGCAACTCCGCATTTTGCCAAACTTTCTTTGCGAACGGCCGCTTTTGCGAAGGGCACGGACAGCCAATCAAACGCGGCTCGTGAAAGACGTCACGGTGGTCATAGCAACGTGGGAATCAAAAATACGAAAAATGCGTCACCTACGTCGTCGTCTTCGAAATTCGCTGCTGGGGTGGGGCGGCGGATGTGCTTCTTCCATGTGAATATTTTTCGCCGGGGGATGTAAGCTTCAGTACGGCATTAAAACAAACTGGCGTTTGCGTACCACGAGAGGGTTGTGGTTGCTTCCTTTGTAAAATTGCAGGCGATAACAATTGACGCTTCTGTTCGATCACTTTGCGTAAGGGACTCGTGGCATAGAAAAAAGACCCTTTCTTCAAATCTGTTTGCAGATGACGCGAAGGTCTGTCTAGAAACTGAGAAACGCTGAACAGAACCTTGTTATTAAAGCCATTTGATAGAAATCGAGCTTCAGATTTTTACGTATAGTGAAAATAACTAATTGATATGTAAACGCGCTGGACGCGTGCTACGCGAGCGACACGCGTGTAAAATGGCTTTAATTACAAAGTGCCGATCAGCGATTCTCTGTTTCTGGACAGACCTTCGTGTCAGATCTCCAAACAGATTTCAAGAAAGGGTCTTTCTACTATTCAATGAGTCCCCTACGCAAATGTCACACGTGCCACGCGTGACATTTGTCATAGAAATCTTGTGACAATTTGGTTTTGTGCATAGTTTGCGATTATTTCACCAACATGATTGTTTTGGCTTTTTTTTTTGCATCTGAAAACCTGTGGTTTTTTTATTTATGTCGTTTCCTTTAACTTCAGTGTTTTTGTCATGTTCGCAATCGCTAATATTGTTTTGAATTTAAAAAAAAGCTTAATATTAACGTTAGCTTGTTCATGCTGACCTACACTGAGGAAGTACAGAATGTGTTTTGCACGTCCAGCGTGTCGTTCATTTCATGAAAGTCGGCCGATAAAACGAATTCTGTGTTTGGTAAAGACCCGATTGGGCAGCGTAGGTTCGACGAAAACAGTAAAATAGCACCTTACCCTGTGGGGAATCAGCCAGTACTCTGTCGATCTACTTTGGGCTATACCTGCCACAAAAAGTGTCCGCCAGTTTGTCCGTAAAAGGGGCAAAGACCACAACCAATTTTCTACAAAAAAAAATTGACTGATTTGCAGGCAACAGGTCCGGGGTGGAAATGAACTAGAGAGATGACATGATGCAGGGGTGATTCAGAAACCAATTTTTTTATTACTGGCTTTAAATGTTGAAAGATAACAACTAACGAAAGACAAAAAAGATGCAATTACAAAAGAAAAAAAAAAATCAAACAGGCTCACCTTTTTGGCAGACATCAAATATGAATAAAGAGGAACATAACACGTTGCTGGAGTCATGGGGTGCACCGGCGCCAAAAGGCAAATATTTGCATTGTGCGCCGGTGTTGCAAGGCCGCCCACTCATCTACGCACGCCACCGACGATCCGAGTACCCCTTGGCAATGGCCAGACGAAATCGACCCCTACGTGACCCGGAAGCTACAACGCAAGGCACGACGAGAAGGAAACTCGCCGTGCCTTCTGTTATAGTTTCGTCGTAACCACATAACCCCCTACAGGCCACCCCACACTGCAGAGAGGGCAGATGCTACACTTCTTCGGCGTGTACAAACACACTCCCTCTCAACACTACACTACCTCCAGCACGTTGCAGATTTACCTGAACCACCTAAATGCACATACTTCCGGAGACTACTCAAATAACTCTCACACACCAAGTTAAAAGGAAGCTGAAGCGGTTTTGTATTTGAGGAAACAGACTTAAGTCGGCTTCATTTCACCTCCAGGATCTCGAATATCGAAATTATTTTTTTTATAATTTGGGGCATGGAGGTTGCAGAAAATCATTTTCAGAGTACCACCGAAGGCCCTCCTTCCAGGAGCGTGTCGCCATAAAAGGAGTTCTCGCAATCTTCCTTCCAGCAGCGTCCACCACAGCTATGCACGCGTACTCTTGCTATTTTTTTTTTAAGAAGGGCATAAAAAGGTGTCAACACTTGTGCCAGTACGGGGGATTACACCTGCCAAGCTAGGGATTGCATGCGCGGCCCTCGAGTGACACGAGCTTTGCGGCCGAAAGGCCCTCTTATGACGCCACGACGGGTCGGGTGTTTTTCGTGTTTTCTCGCGTTAAGTTACATCTTCGGGGAAAACGAACGCGATATTCATATCCACGGGATAAAACTACGCTAGAATCAAGCTCTATCTCATTTTTTTTAAAGAAGTGTTCCAGCTTCCCTTTAAGGACTGCGCCTCAGCTCAGGATCTTGCAGAACGTGCACTGAAAACACTCGTCCCACTTATCCAACCAAGGATCTCAGAGAACTGTGTCACTCCTCCACGGGCGGCAGAGTATAAATTACGTCCACCCCTAGTTAAGCACATTAATAGCGTACATGAACAGGGAGAGTCCCTAATTTCATCCCCCTCCAGTAGCACCGGTCTTGGTACAATACAAATGTTTCACTTTCTCTGTTCAAAGTCCTAGTGGGCCTCACACGGAAGCCGTCTCTCACCAGAGCGCCCGTTCAAACGTAGCGAACTCGCAGCGGCAGAATATTGTTGTAATGGTGGCCTCAGCTCCCTGTTCCACCGGAAATAGGTCAGACGATCCTCACACACAAAAACTTGAAAACTTCGCGATTTGTCACCATACCGCTGACACTACTTAGGATTTCAGTCCAGCGCGGTTCCTTCGTCATGACACTGCAGCTTCCTTTACCAAGTACCTGCGGTACAGGTCTCTCACTGCGGTGGCCACTATGTTGCATTTTCGGAGAGATTGGTCGACGTGCCCCGATCTCAGCCTCGGTAGGTGGAGCAACGCGTTTGTCTGTTGAGAGACCTCCTTGCACCACTGGCCATCAACGATGTTGCCGAAGTGGTCGACTTCAATCAGCATTGGCATTTAGCATGTGCAACTTGTCGTCTTGTAGGTAGTTGTGCAGTACACAAGCTGCGCGGACGACTCCAGTGGCGTGGTCTGGGAGGAGGTCGATTGGCCTGCGAAAGATGCAAAATCTAGTAGCCAAAATTTCGAATGCGTTCTGGACGCACCTTCTGGAAATGGGACAAAGACAACACTGTGATTTTTGTTATTATAATGCAAGTGCAACAATTCTAAAGGTTACCTCGCTCTACACAGTCGATAGTTGAATATTTTTAGATAATCGCTGAGGTATCAACCAGGACAGGGCCTCAGAAAGTCCGACCTCAGTTGAAATGCCTCGTCTCCAACGAAGACGGCCGCGGCGATAACATGGGAAGATGGCAGCAGATTTGGTGGTGGACAATTCAAGGCAGCTTGACTGAGGCACTGTCCTATCCTTGATGCCTTGAAGACGCCACCATCACTTTGGTGGCCATACGCTCCAGCGTCTGTGGCCATAAACCTCGACTTGCTGTCCACGACGGCCATCAGCACTACAGAGTAGGTTACCCTGAAAAGCCGAATGTTACGTCACTTCATGCGCTCTTCCAAAACATGATATGTGTTAAAGTAAATTTGTAGACCCATAAACAGCACCTTGTAGTTATAGTACAGGCTTCAAGAATCGGCAAGGGCTTCGATATGTCCGTGTTTTCCGTCAACGTTCCCCACACAATGAGGAAAATTCCGCCCTGTCTCAAAACCCTTGGCAATTTCCCTTGGTCTGTGATTCTTGATGGGAGCTAGAAGTACAGCACAAAGTTCACACATGGTTTTACGTTGTTATTTAAAAGCCGTTCATGTAATCTTTACCTATAGTAATACTGGTAATAAATGCATCCTCAAATATGAGAAATACTTGTTGACGTTTAACAATTGCGAATAATTTTTTAACTGGATCTGAAAAGCTGTGTGTCTGTCTTTTTTTTTCTCCCTCGTTCCTTTTTTTCTACGTTCAGCTGGAAACTTTCAGAAGCATGTTTAGCCAACTAGCCCAGCTCCAGGCACACACCACTTACTTTTGTAAGCTATCATATTATGCCCAAGTCAGGCCGGTGTCAGACTGCTTATACAAAAGACAAAAAACAGTCTGCAGACATCGATCGAACGCGACTCACTGACGCATCTGTGTTTCATAAGCCGCGTGACAGGCTGCTCCTTTCATTGGTTGCCGTGCGACATAAAAAAGCAGGGATGCTGCGGTGCCTCAAATTACTATTTGTCTGCAAACTGTATTCGTAGGATGCGTAATGTGTGACCCCGTCTTTCGAAGGTGGCGCAGTAATAGCATTGGGGCCCTCAACACCCTCAGGTCTGCAGCCCTCTCTTCCCAAGTTCGTCCCTAGAATCATAAATCAATGGCTCTCTGTTGTGTAAACTTTTTGAGAAACCATTTTTGACAGTACAGCTTTCAACATGATTCATTTAGATATTTCGGCTGCGAATAGTTAGGAGCAGCTGCAAAGGACGAGTTAGCTGCAGTGATTTGTACACCCGACTCCCATAATTATCTCCAGGTGGGGTGTGACACCCCCCCCCCCCCCAGGATGTCTTAAGCAATGTATATACACCTAAAGCCAGCCCCTTCTAACACCCCCTTATTTATCTCCAGGTTGGGGGCGACACCCCTCAGAATTTCTTGACCAATGCATCTAGACCTAAGGCCACCCCCTCCCAACAGCCCCCCCCCCCCCCCCCCCGAATAATTGCAACACCCCCTGATTTAGAATTCTGAATGATTACGTGGTTTGGTAGTGTGTAGAAAGAGTACACCGGGGCAGGGGGGGGGGGGGGGGGGGGACTTGAATTCATCAATTTCCCAAGACCACCACTGTGAGTCTTGTTGTTCGTCATGATCTACATCTTTAAAGGCGGTATTTAGTGGACGCCGTATTGGCGCGCATTGTTCGCAGCTAGAGCTCAAAAAGAATTGCTACGTACTGCTGGCAAAGATAAACAATCTTGACGGTGTGAAATATACGTTGCAGAAGCGTTGTGCAAATTCACTAACAGCACGTGCTCTCAACAGCAACCGGCGCAAGCTATGGCCCCCAGTGAATACCACACGACCGGAATACCACCTCCATTTTCAAGTGTTTTTTTCATTACGAGACGCCAGCGACTCTTTCACAGCATGCATGCGACACTAAGGATACGGTTGGTTTTGGATGAGGCGCGTTTTTATTGGCTGTCTTTTCGTACCGTCGCAGCGGCGCTGGTGACGTCTCGAAAGATGTTTGGCAATTGACGCAGCTCCGATTATTTCATAATCGCATTGAACCTGCCTGTTTGCCGCAACAACGCCGTCGCAACTGCGAAATCGCAACTAAAATCGCTCCATGTGAAACCGTCCTCTTTTCTACAAGTTACCAAAAACGAAATCAGATTTCTTTGCTTACCTTCATGTGTTTTGGGCGAAGCACCTTTCATATAAGCGGACATCTCTCATGCCCGATGGATGCCCCTGTTGACACACCAACCTTGAATTGCAGTGCAAGATCCTGCATTGACGTTGCCGATGACAGGTACCTGAATAAAAACAAAACATTGCTGTGTACATCAATGTCTGGAAGCCGAGAAACTAGTAATGAGTTCGCCATATAAACCAGTTTAATTGCACCTCGTATTCACTCCAAACAGTGAAGTTTAAAGAGAATACCATTTTACCTCAAAGTGATAGCAAGCCGCACCCGCGACGAAATGGGCTCTCTGACGACATATTGCTTCGTAAGCTTTGTTTCCAGGCGAGTGTGGAGTCTTTCAAAGGCTTTCCGCATTATCCGGTAATATCTTCGAAATTGCTCCGGGTCGCTGTGCAGTATAAAGAGGGTCTGCAGAGAAAAAGTATTCCAGAAACCTGCTCGCAGAAAAGCACAAGTCGACTTACCAATGAGTAAAACTCCGATTTTTTGGCTCTGTTTTGCCAGCACGGCCTGACCCGCCATCACCGCGGGCTGCCGTCTAGGAGCAGGAGTTTCTTTTCCGCAGAAGTAGGTATTCCTTTTTACAGAGCAGTCTGAACTCGTCGTCATCAGCGGCCATTATGCTCTATGAAAGTTAAGACGCGCTGCTACTTGCCATCTTTTAATATGGAACATCGTCCACGTGACGAAGCCACCGGGACAACTGTTCGCCTTGCGCGACATGCCAAGCAACGCAACAACTAGCTTGCTCAAGCAGTTATGAGCTGTGACTCTCCCGGTGTCCTTGTCGCGTTCGTCGTACTCGTTGTTTTCGTCGTTTTCGTTGATGCGAATGCAGTCGATGCAAACGTCTGAATCGGCCCTAAATATAAGTAACGGCGTACTTTTTACCAGAAGCTAATAAATAAATCTGAAAATTTTATAATTTTGTTAAATATCGAAATTAGTATCGCCAAACGAATTCAAGGGTTCCAACCATGTGCTTCGCAAGTGCGAAAAATCGCATATGTTCTCAATCAATGTGAAAGGAAACGCGAAATTTCGCATGTGCGGTTCATCGCTTCACCGATTTCGCAGGAGAAAATCGCACCATGTGAATCAGGCTTTAAAGCGTCAGTCGCACTGCTCATACATCGGACATGGCTCAAGCATGTTCACAGCATGTTTGCTTCATACATATATGTAGTATGTTTCGCACATGCCTGCAGACATTTTTCGCATGACCAATATGACCGTCATACAAGGAAGAAATAAGTCTCGGGCAGTGCCATGCAGACTGTCTTCTGTATAACGTGTTACCAGTGTGACATGGGCCTAAGACTATGCCACCATAATATCTCGTCATCAATATCCCCAAAATCCTCCCCCCAAAAAAAGAGAGAGAGAGAGGGGGTGACAAGTGCACTCCCCTTCCCCCCCCCCCCCTCTTCCCCCTCCTGCACTCCCCTCCCGACGCCCCTGCTATTAGGTGAAAGAAAACTATGTTCGTGAGCCCTGCACTACTGGTGTGGATTTTCTCTGGTCACCCGAAAGCTTTCTTTGTTATGTCTGCAGGTAAAATTCATTGTTCGTCCTATTAGTGAGACGAAGCCGTCGGCACTCCTAAGGGGTTCTTGCACACTGCAACCATGCGTGAATGCATACAGGGACATACTCTTTCTCCAGACATTCAGTGCCTTTGCATCTAAGACTGAGCACCTAAGAAGTCTTCACTATACTAACTCGTATTTATTCTGTTGCTCTCACGTGTTTAATTTTTGAGCTATAGGAACCAGTTGGGGGAGGCTTCGATGGCCTGCCGGGCTTGACCAATACCACCTAAAAGACAAGGCCTGCGCATATGAGGTCATTGTTGGTGGATCTCCGACCCACTTCAATCGGACAACGTGCTGAAACTCGACGAGAGATGCCGCAAAAGCGGCGGACCCGTCCGTCTTGGCATCGCCGCGTTTTAGCGTCGTGCTCGTTGTTTTCGCTGCGAGACGAACGGACGGTGAGGCTGACGCCAGCTAGGCGGCGTGCGTGGATATACTGTATCTTAAACAAATGTTAAGAAAAAAAAACTGGCTAGGTGGCGCAAGTGACCGCCCGATTCAAAGGGTTCAGACTCATCCTTCGATCCATCCAGCGATGACGTTTGACGGGGAGGAAAGCAGCTCGTCAAGGTGGTATCGGATGAACGCACCTCTTGATGATGTAGAGCCTGGCGTCCCTGCAGGCGACCGCCACATGGTAGTCCACGTCAAAGAGGCCCTGGCCGTCCAAGAACGTCGGTGCACTGGCCACCTGGACCTGATGAATGGGGAGAACGTCTCTCTGTCCCTCGTGGTAATCGACGTCATGCATCGCGGTCCTTGGTTGTTACTGCGTGTACTTTGGATACATGATTTGCACGTCCTAATCTCCGTTCCCCGAGGGTGGCTGGGGACGGGCGTTTGCCTCGAACATTCCCGTAGATGAGATGACGACTTTGAGAGTTAGGTATTTGTAAAATAGAAAATATATTACAGGGGGGCTCTAGGAAACGACCACTCCACGTCACCTCGCTACTAACGTTAACGCTTAGGTACACCCCCTTGTTGAGAAGCAGGCGGGTATGGGAACTTTTGTGTTGACGCTGAATTGAAATAAAGTAACCGCGTGGTGCTAACACACACACACACACACACACACACACACACACACACACACACACACACACACACACACACACGCACACGCACACGCACGCACGCACGCACGCACGCACGCACACACACACACACACACACACTCTCTCTCTCTCTCCAAGAGTACTTTCCTAAGTTGAATGGAGATACCACAAATATTACCAGGGATGTAAATTTCAGCGTGTATGTACATTTCTGATAAGAACAAAAAGAGAAAAGAAAACTTACATAGCAAAAGCAGTAGTTTAATCGGATTAGCCTCCGACACAGGAGACATCGCCAGTAGTGCTGGGTTGGCAGGTATGAGAAAACATTACAATCAGTAGTTTCTTTGAAGCAGCTTCGCGTGCACTTCGGTCCGCGTACACTTCTCCCCACGAGATAAACAAATAATAATAAATAATAAATTTCTATTTCCATCGATTATGATGGTGGAAGGCGAACCTTTTTAAATATGACAACTGTTGTATTATTTTCTCAGTCCGGCCAACTCGACATCACTGATGGTGTCTCCTGTATGGGAAACGAGGCATCTGATTAAACTGTTATTTTTGTTATGTAAGGTAGATATAGTTTGTTTTATTATTTTGAGTCTCGGCTTTTATGAAATGTTGTATGCATATTTACCACGCAACCCCCCCCCCCCCCCCCCCCCCACCAAAAAAAAAAAAAAAAAAAAATAGCGTGCTTACCGCGGCGAGGATGGTAAAGGCGTCCGGCTCCAACACGTAGACGCGTCCGTCTTCGGTGGCCAGGAGCAGGCAGCTTGGGGAGTCCTCTTCGGCCATACTCTTCTTGAGCGTGCTCAGCGCCGTCACCACCGTCTGGGGGTACACGGAGCATTACCCATCGAGGCCGCGACGACACATATCGTGAGAAAATGAAGAAACGTCGGTGCATGATCCGTAGCGAAACAGCGAAAATTGAATGTACAAACAGTGCGCGGAACAGTCAAACTTAAAACTAATATATATTTTTTTTATTATTCATGACATCGCTGAACCAAGACTTCATGGAGCGCAGAAACGAATCCAGATCTCCGTTTTTTTTTTGTTGTTTTTTTTTTTTGGGGGGGGGGGGGGGGGGGAGGAGGGAAATTTAAAGTAGCATAACAGGACTCCGGTTGCGCCTTTTGTTTTAGCCGCCGCAGAACCACACTGCGCCGACTGCGTCTAGATGTGCGCCGCTGCGCCGACTTATTGGCTCCAAACCGTACTTTGAAACTGACGCCGCGGAGTTCAGTCTTTGTTGAAACGACGGAGTGGTTCTCCAAGTTCAGAGAAGTGTGCCTGCTAGGGTGCAACCTACCCTATTTCAAAGAACGAACGCTTATTCGCAGCATATTCGCTCCCTGAAGCGCAGCCTTAACAAAAGCGATTCTTGTTCTGTTTTACAGTGCAACATTAAAGCACACAATCTCAAAATGTAGTCCGCCCGTCCGTGCATTTCCCGCTAAATTTAGCGGGGAAACTGATGTCACGTGACCTATACAGGATTTCAGTTTCTCCGCCAAATTTAGAGGGACATTTGATGTCACGTGACCTGACATCACGAAATCCCTACAGAACAATTCAGTTTCTCCACTAAATTTAGCGGAAAAGTTGCCAACACGTGACGTATACGCCATATCAGTTCCCACGCTAAATTTGGTGAGAAAATTGGTGTCTCGTAACAGGCACGTAGCCAGGATTTTGTTTCGGGGGGGGGGGGGGGGGGGAGGGGGGGGGAGGGGGAGGGGGACAAGAGGTCCCAGCAAAATGGAAGATTTCGGGGGGAGGGGGGCAACAATTACCATAAACTTGCCTGACCTAAAAGTGAGTAACTTTTCGTTCAGACAAGCGTATTACTATCTTTTGTAACAAACTACTAGTTACCCTGCACTAGTTGTACTGTATTATTGCTCCTCTGCAGACTAAGGTCACTTTCTCAGTGTCAGTCCTACCTCTCGCTGTATAAACATTCACAACGTCCCATTTGCTTTTCTTTGTGTATTTGTGTTTGCTTTTTTAAACATTGGTGAAGGAGGCTGCTCAGAATGTACAACTGAAATGAAGTAACTAGCAAAGCGCACATGAAGGCTCCCTAGAAGTAACGCTTCGGGTGCCCACACCTGCTTTTTGAGCGGAAAATCCCGGTTCGCCTGGACGAAAGCTTCCCTCTCATCCGGGTCCAGCATTAGGAACCTGGAGTGAGATAGTAATCGAGTTATTCGGTATTTGGGAGCCTGCGAGACGATATGGCTTTGCCCGAGCGCCTCCCGGACTTACCTTTGGGACCGTGCCGTCAGGTTGGGCAGCCCCACCTGAGACCTGCGAGAGACGAGATGTCTTCACTTTTCATTTAGGGCGGTTTTATTATGACTATGAATATCTAGTAGAAAAAAAATATTCTCTTTCCATTTTTCTCAAAAGAAGATAGGTTGGAAATAGTGCTATTGACTCGGCTCAGCTGTTCCGTAAAATCAATTTTCATGTCAATTTTCGCTCTACCAGATTAAAAAAAGAAAAAAAAAAAAACGTTCATTATGCAACATTTCACTCCTTCTCGAATCCAGTCGCTTTATAACAGTGTCGCCACTCCGGATCTCGACATCTGTGCATCGGCCTCTGAGTTTTGCCGCCTGTTGAGTAATTCGTTTTTACTAACTTATTTTAATTTCTCTGTTTTGTATTATTTGTGTGTTAGTGTTTCTTGAGTGTCCCAAATAATTTACAAGTTTTTTACACCGCTAAAATAAATTACGTATTGCCGAACGCTCATTCTTTGCTCAAAGGTAGCGCTAGCGGTCCGTACCAGTTGCCAAAGTTTCAGCACTAACCGTCATAATATTTAAAGGTTATAAGTGATTCTTTGAAATCTTCAATGGAAAAATGGCGGGCGACGGAGCTCTCGAATACATAGAGCTCTATGGGCGCCAGAAACCGAAAACGGGCAAAGATGGGCCCTATTTTTTACAGCGGAGCTGTTAAGGGGTACTTTCCCCAGGGTCGTGTCTCCCGCAAAGAAAGGAAGACACCGAACTGTGAACACCTACCGCCATCTATGAGCGACGGCGGCAAGCCACGTATCTGGTCGCCGCCGTCGCTCATAGATGGCGGCAGCCTTTACACTCTGACTTGCCGACTTGCGGCCGGCCATTACTTTCCATTGTACAGCTCCGCTGGTCTTTCTTCTTCACCAGAGGGGAAACGCTGAAAGTTTTTAGAGCGCAGCTCTTAGGGGCCCGTTCCCGGCTTGAGCGGCGTCGGCGTCGGCGTAACCAAGGTCACCCCAATGTCACGCGACCCCCAAAGGTCATCCCAAGGTCACGTGACCCCCAAGGTCACGTGCCCCTGGAGAAGGGGTCACGTGACCTTGGGTGTCACTTTGGGTGTCAAGTGACCCCCAAGGTCACGTGACCCCCCCGAGGTCACGTGACCACCCCCAGGGACACGTGACCCCCCGCCGAGGCCACGTGACCTCCCCGATGACGTCATCGTCACTGATGACGTCAGCAGCATCCGCATCGTCATCGTCATCATCACTGATGACGTCATCAGTGACGTCCTGATGACCTCACCGGCATCCGCGTCGTCATCGTCATCATCACTGATGACGTCATCAGTGACGTCACTGATGACGTCATCGGCATCCGCATCGTCATCGTCATCATCACGGATGACGTCACCAGTGACGTCACTGATGACGTCACCGACATCCGCATCGTCATCATCGCTAATGACGTCATCGAAGTCCGCATCGTCCTCACCACTGATGACATCATCGGCATCGTCACGTGACCCCCAAGGTCACGTGACCCCCCAGGTCACTTCAACCCCCCCCAGTACCCTTTCCTCCTCGTCCTCAAGAGCTGCGCTCTAATTCGGTGTTACAGGGAGTTGTGAACGGTTTTCACTTTTTTCATTAAAAATTTCGGAAAATCACTTACAATCAAGGTGTCATATATAATTTTGTATCTGTCCGTCCCATTTTGCTCCCTCGCTCCAGGGTGTTGTGTTCAGTCAGTTCGGGTTCGATCTAACTTTCTTCCCTCATTCGCGTTGTTCCTTCTATGCTAGCCATCTGTGGCAGTGTCTCCCGAACGGCTGCGACGCTGCCGAACGGCACGCGCCAAGAGCGCGCGCTCTGCTCTTTGCTTGTTTGTTTTCTTTTCTTTATCTGCTTCTAAAATTAAAGACAGTTCTATGACGTAAATCCTACTCGGCTGGTCGCTGCCTAGGACGTCTCCACACAGGGTTACCATGTCAATCACTTTGCCCATGCGCCAGATTACAGTCGCCATTGCTGACCTTCTCGAAGCCTTACCGAGATACCGCGCCACTGAAACGGGCGTTCAGTGGACAAAGGCCAATGCTGACGTCGACGCAATATAATCTAAGATGGCAGTAACCTGGCCTGCTATGATAACGATGAAGTGAAGTAAACGGAATAAGAGGAAGCAAAAACTGGAGGTCGGTTATGGCGGCACCCATGCACAGCTGCTGCAAAGCGTCTATAACTTTTGTATACGATCGGCTAGTTCTGATACTTCGGCATCTGCGTCGAAAAAACAACAAAGACATTTAGTTTTTTTTTTGTGAACATTGTATACCTATTTCTATTTCGTACTTACTGTGTTATTTCGGAGGTGTGCACATCAAATGTCATTGTGGTTGTTTTCGTGCACTTTCACGATTATTCCTATTAGATTATTATTATTATTAATATTATTATTATTAGTGTTTTTGCTATTCTGTTTTTTTTTTAAACTGTTTTCAACCTGGCTTTGGCAGATTTACTTTTGTCTGAAAGGCGGTTACTGTTTTTGTTCTCGGACATTCTTCCACAATTGTCTTCATAACTTTTAATTGGGCGGCGTCACACAAGCCATTGTTGTCTTTGATTGACCCCGCAGTCCTGTATACCTTTGTGAATGTTCTTGGATACAAATGACTATGACTATTATTATTAATATTATTACTATTATTTTTATAATTACTAAAGTATTAATATTAATATTATTATAATTTTTATTTCATTATTATTATTAAATTATTCGAATCGGTGTCTGGTTGAAACAACACCGCCAACGTTGACTCCGGCTAATATTTCCAGATTTTCCGTATCCGGTAATGTTTCAGGGTTGGCCAGATTCGGTTAGGTTTCCGAATGGACAGATCTGGTAAGTTTTCCGGGTGGGCCAGATCTTGTAAGGTTACCGAGTTGGCCAGTTCCGGTAAGCTTTCCGGATTGACCAGGTACGTCCGGTTTTACTTTTCGTTTAGTCAAAATTGAGATTGCTTCCGGTTATCCACCCTCGTTTTTGGTATACCTCCCCAATCCTTTTACACCTCGCCACAAACCACGGCAACCCAACCTTACATTGTAAGTGGAATTCATGACGCCAGGTTCAGTTTCACGTGCGACAACTGTTAGGTGTGCATCGACTATATGCAACAAGGGGGGCGGCGTACCTAGCGGCTTCGAGGGCCTCTTTGAGCGCTTCCACGTCCACGGTGTCCTGGGAAACAGGGAGAAGAAAGCAGTGGGCTCGGACGGCTTCTTACCAGGAAAAAGCGGATGCAACGAATAACAGCAGCTAGCAATACGTGTAGAAATTAGGGCAGAGGAGGAGAAGAGAGCGTGCGGGGATATTATAACGCCGAGCTAGAGGGCCTTTCGTGCGGTATATTTCAAAGTGAAAAAAAAAAAAGACAAAAGAGTTAGGTAATTCTAATTTCGATGCTCGGCTGTCCATGTCATGAATCGTTGGGCTCTTCATAAGTTTAGATGGGCGTGCAGCGAAAGTGATCACTTAGGCACAAAATACCATAGAGTCCCTTGATGCGAACATTCAACCTGCTCAATATGAGAGTTATCCCAGTTTTCGGAGAGCGCAATGTCCGGAACAACGCGTAAGTGCAAACATGTCAAACGTGCATTTCAGTTAGTGGATCTGATTGCCGGATCCTTGTTGGCCTTGACATAGCCTGCGACTAGCGGAAGGTCAACGCACCTTGACCGCCCAGGCATCCATCTCGGCCGCGTGGGGCGCGACGCCGGGGAGACTGAACTTGTAGAAGGGGCGCAGGTTCTTGTAGACGTACAGGCACGGCCCAGAGGCCACGGCCACGGCTGCAACGAGCGTGCACGCACGTCCGACTTTGACACGTCATGGCCAGATTTGCTATGGTATGTCTTCGAAAAGACGTGACACCCGGACACCTTATGGCGCATACGAAGTGTGTGAAGTAGACTCATTAAACAGAGTCTAACCGTTAAGACGACTGCCATTTTTAACATTTGAATTGTCATCCCATCTGAGAGTAATTTACGACCCAGTTTCCTACAAGGCAATCGGAAATTAAGTATGTAAGATGATTGCCTATTGGACGTCGTAGAGATCTTTTTAGACTATTTGTTTTATACATTATGATTCTACTGACCGCTTGTTTCGATTTGTACTTTTGGGAGTCAAAAATCGTTTATTCTAACTTTACCATTTTACCAGCAGGTATAATTTTGTAAACGCTTTCCTGTCTCGTAAACGTACAGGAAGAGGTCTGCCAACATTAAGTCAACCAAGACAAAGATGTAAGAATGTGACAGTCTACTGAAGTATATTAAGTGATGTTAGGTTGTTACGTATTTTGTCGACACCCAGGAAGGCCTGCACTTGAGTAAAATACAGTTTCGTGTAAAGCCGCGGTCCCACTGATCATATCATCGTACAAGAGACGCGGTGTTCGCTGAAAACAGGATGACAGAACTTTATCTGCGGACGTACGCCCCAAGCATCGTAGAAGCGCTTCATACATTCAAACATGTCGGCAGACTGTTTTTTATGGTGTGTTTTAGCAGTGTGACGGTGACTTTAGTTATCAGATAAGGCACTGCGTAAAGAAATGTTCGAAGGGCTTTGGAGGTACCTGAGGCTCTGGGTCCTGAGCTGCCCATGTAGAAGGCCACCAGGCCCGAGGGCAGGTCCACGATGGTCTGCTCAGATTGCAGCCTGCCGCCTGCACAGGGTTCGCGGAAAAATGGGCGCGGGAACCTACCTAGATGGCGCGTAAATTGCGGCCGATCCGCCAGCTAGATGCTCGCTTTAGTACGTAGGGCTGCACGCTTGTGCGTGTGTGTGTGTCCCGACCGAGGCAGACACTATGCCATTGCTGAGTTGCCATTGCAGATATTGGATCTTCAGTTTGAACGTTGATGTGACCAGTACGTTTAAAAACGCACTTTCAAAATAGAAAAACAACTCCCGCACCCGCAAGAAAAGGCAAAACAGCCGAATCGCTTTTTGTTTTGTGTGTGCATTTGACGGTCTATTTTACAACCATGTGTACATGTCCGCTCGTCACATTCATTTATAAATACCTTATTACCGGTAATAATATCTCTACTTTATATAGGGTTCCGTGTTTTCGGGGCTTATTTTTCGTCGATTTCGGGGGTGTTTGTTCGGGGTTTATTTTCCCAACAGATTTGGTGTTTTTCGATGTCAATTTTCGACATCGGACAAGAAATCGGTGTTCACTGGGCTTTGTGTTGAAGAAACAGGACTCGGACATAGCATTCCATAACCTCCAAAGAACATGCTCATGCCCAGAATGCTTGGACAATGTCCTGGTACAAATAAAAAAAGGAAACAAGATGGGGGGTCTGGTTTCCGAAGAAGTAGCCTCGTGAACATTTCAGTGTGGCTGTGTTCAAGGTAAACACAAAATATCTATGTAGTTGAAAAGTACTTTACTGGAAAGTAAGGATTTTTCTCGCTACAGAGATGCTCTAATTCATTTTCGTTTTTTTTTTGTTTTCCTGGAGTTTGATAAAACAGGCTTGGGGGCTAACTTTCGGGGTTTATCGGTATTTACCGAAAACACGGAGCCCTATTTCTATGCACCTGCTTGAAACCGTTGCTTCGACCATGAGTATTGATATATTTAGAATGCATTTTTTTTTACATAATTATATCAGTTTCATAAAATATTCCTTTAAGTAATTTTAATCTGTTTGTGCTTTTAATTATATTGTAATACAATAGGTGTTTGCCGTATTCCTTCAATCAATAAGCCATCTCGTATGACCCGATCTCGCTGTACAGCATCAAGTAAAGCACATCTAGAAACACCATTGAGCAAAACCTTTCTTCGGGATTTTTCTTTAGAGCGAGAGGTTTCTCCCGAAAAGGTGTAAACCCAGAACTACGAAAGTTGTGGCTTAATGATTAACGTATATTCAGCGGGAAAAAAGTTATCAATTTGAAAGGATTTGACGAGCCGCTTTGGTAGCATGGCTTGAGATCACGACTGAACCTGAAAAAAGACTGCGGACGTTGTTTATGCAATTTATGTTTAGATGCGCTTCGGAATTACAGTTTACAATCATTTGTTCGCTGAGTGTGAAGAGGTTTTGATACAAGAGTCTCAATCCCGGCCAAGTAGGCTTTAGAGCACTTCCTTTGACGGTGCATACCTCGAAAGACCTTGAGCTTGAAGCCGTGCGATCCGGTACCCAAGTCCGCTACCAGGAGGCGGTGGTCCCCGTCCGAAAATAGGTCTCCAGTACACAGGCATGACGGCAGGGCGTACAGTGACGCGTACGGGTCGTGATAGGCGCGCAGCCACGACTCCCTGTAGGTATGCGGAGGTACAGCTATACATATACGGTATTTAAAAAGTCAAAGTCAAATTTTGGGGTTTTAGGTGCCAAATTAACAAAGGGCATCTGGCATGCCCCAGTGGAGGACTGAGGATTAATTTCAATTCATTGGGGACTCTTTCAACGCGCAATCGAAATCTCGGTTACCACGGCATCTTCTCCACAATAAACCTCCGTAAGATTTAAGGGAACTTCGGCCGGGATTTGAGCCCGCCATCCGAGAATCGGTGGGCCGCAATATATATGTGCAACTAACATTTGTTCCTTCGTCACTCCCAGTTTGCGTCAAAAGCTGCCACGCTCTCATGTATCATGGGCTAGTGTAGCGAACAGGAGACGTCACGGCCGCTTTCCGGCCAGCGCAATTGACGTCAAGAGGGGCAAACCTAGACAGTTACAGCATATTTGTTAGCTGCACCATTAACGTTCATATCAAATTTCCTAAACTTACGCAAAATGCTGAGTGTGTTTTGATATTTAAGGGTGGCGATATTAACTTGTTAAAAAACTATAGGTCAATATAAATACTATCTGATATTTCTAAAGGTTTGGAGAAAATCCTTCATAGCCGTCGGCATATTTGCGGCGTTTCTGTTTATTAACGGACTGACAGCACGGCTTTAGAAAAGGAAGGTCTACTGAATCCGCTCTGTCCCAGAAAGTAGTGATCACTCTGTGATATCGAAAACAAACTGTTGACATCAGTTATATGCGTAGATTTTTACAAGGCAATTTACGTAATTAATCACAATATTCTTTAAAAAAAAACTGCAGTGCAACAGTATACGGGGTTATGCACTCAATTTATTCAAATCATACCTGTCCGTGTTTGGAGAGTGGCGTCTCCACGGACCCCGAGCCCCGCAGGGGGCGCCTGCACCTTAGGTGTTAGGGGCTTGGGGAGTAGCGTCACCACGAACCCAGAGCCATCTAAGTTCACCCACCCACGCCTGGCCGTGCATGACTTAACCCGTGTCGGGGGAAAGGGGGATCGTGGTGGTTGAGCTAAGCCCGGTGTACGTTTGGACCGTTTAATGCCCCCCGGGCAAGAAAATATACGGCCCCTGCTTATCGTAGACGGGTGTCCTTACTTGGCCCGACCAGGATGATTCAGTCACCTTTCTTCTCCTCTCCTACCTTTGCCTTTTCTCTTTTTCTGCCCTTCCTTCCTCTTTCGCCTTCTTGGGCTAACCTTGGGTGGTGACGGAACTCTCTCTAGACTTCCACTCGGCTATAATCTCTTAATAGCACTGGTAGCGTAATTGTGTCAGCCAAGCCATTATTGCTGTGGCACATTACCTATATCGCCTCGTTGGCCTCGGTGGTGGACGGTGCGCCACAGGTTTTGAACAACTTCCCAGCTCTATGGGTTTTAAGCAAAAACAACCTGATCAGCCTTGTAAAAGAGAACGCACCAATGTCCTTTCAACGTTCCTGAACAAAGACAACTCAAACTCAAATTACTACTTTACCAGGTATTTCGTACTGCACTCTGAGGACATTGTTAAACAACTGTCCAATGTGACCCCTTTATTGTTATAAAGTTCCCCCAAAAAATCACACTAGGAGGGAAGTGCGAAGCTAAGAGGCAATCGTTTCAGGCGACCTTCTTGTAAATGCATTAAAAACATTCAATGCCACAGCTCTGCTGAATATCCAGCCTGTCCATGACCTCAAGGTAACTGTTTCTCCTCATCACCCACTGAGCACAATCCGCGGTGTGATATCAAAGGATGATCCGGCAGACAGCTTTGTGGAAGAAATTGCGGGGGGTCTGCAAGCTCAAGGGGTTGTTGCCGCAAAACGAATCAAAATCCGACGGGATGGCGAGGAACGGCCCACTAGACACATCATTTTAACCTCCGAGAGAAATACTCTGCCGCCTTCAGTAAAAGTGGCCATACATTTCGAATCCTTTCAGCTGCTTCCGCTGCCAGCGCTATGGTCGTGGTTCGCTCGCTTGCCGTGGTCATGAGACATGTGCCAGATGAAGTAAGAAGTGTTCGTAGGCTAAATTCGTCCGCGACTGTTTTCACTGCTGAACTGCACGGCCTTCTGCTTGCGGTAGACCATATCATCCAAACAAGTAACTCCCATTCAGTGATATATACAGACTCGCTGAGTGCCTTATGAGCTCTGACGTCACTTGCAACCCCCCAAAACGCCCTCATTTTTTATTGCAAAACAAAATAGTAGCAGCAACCAGGAAAGGTTGTAATGTTTTATTCTGCTAAATACCGAGTCATGTCGGAATCTTAGAGAATGAAGAGATAGATCGTGCTGCAAGCACTTGTGGCGCCCATGCTGTAGGCATAAGTAGCCTCCTGTTCAGAGATTACTGTGCCCTCATAAAATATAATGTTAAAGCTCAGTGGCAAGCGGAATGGAGCTTACAGGTGGCAAAGAGCTGTTCATGATACAGCCTTTTCTCAGTGAATGGAAGAGTGCTAGGCGCAGAGACAGGTTTTATGAGGTAGTTCTCTGTCGTCTACGCATTGGGACACGCGTCTCACGCATGGACACCTCTTACGCGGGGAGGATCCTTCTGAATGTGAACATTGCCAGGAACCTTTGAGTATCGTACATATCCTTTTTGAATGTCTTGCCTATGATGATAAAAGACGCCTCTACTTCTTCCAGCTCTACTAAGAACATGTCCCATTACACCTATGTGTGTTACTTGGTAATGAGCCACTGCTACCACCCACTCAAGTTTTTAAGTTTTTAGAAAGTATTGACCTTTTATGCGAGTTGTAGCCTTCTTTATACAGTAAGGTCCTGCTTATATGTAGGGTTCCGTGTTTTCGGATAAATCTGAAAAACTCCGAAAAACACACGACGGTAAAATTTTTGTCACTTCGGATTTATCCGATAAGCTCCAAATGTTAATGCCCGCCCCCCCCCCCCCCCCCCCCCCCCGCAAACAAAATATATATATATATTTTTTTTTACAGTTTGTTTTGCACAGTGTCAATGGTCCTGGGGAAATCCCACCACAATTTTCTTTAAAATCTCGGACCGTTGTCAAAACGGGCCTTACAGCTTGTCTCGTCAAGGTTGGCTCAGGGAAAGAGGTCATCGTACCATTCGTGTCACGACAAAAGCCACTCTTTTGGTTTCCAGTTTGGGCCATGGGGTTTGGGATTTAGAGAAACGAGTGGGTATGTTTCTGGGGGTAACAGTGAAAGCTATGGACCATAGAGATTCTATAAAATAGGGAAGAGGGGCAGTTGAAACTTCTCTATTACATCCTTAACCACCCCACCTCGCGCGCCGCGAGGTGGGGTGGTTAAGCATCCTAACGACCACCTCTGGGAGTTTATTAATTTTAAGGTATCTACGTTTATTGAAGCAACACCTGTGCGCGACGTTTGACGTGAAACAAACTAGTATTGCCAATGGCAATCGCACTAACGCCAAATTCCACTAAAGACATTTTAATTGATGCAAGCGCGTTTTATTTTTTTATCTAGCATACGTTCACACCCGGTTATTATTTATTTATTTTTAATAGGAATCACTGCGAAATTAAACTCCGAATCTCGGAGAATTGGGAATAAAACAAATATAAACTCGGAAAAACTCCGAATCTTCGGCAAAAAACAAACTCTGAAAAACACCCTCCGAATTTGATGAAAAATAAACTCCGAAAACACGGAGCCCTACTTATTTGGTAAACATTTTTCCTGTTCGTAACTTCATAAATTACTAGCTACTAAAGTTCTTTCTTCTCGTAAACCCTCTTACGCAATAGTTTAATTTTTTTTTCGCATTATAGCCCTAGTTGCTTTTGCGCCATAAATTCAAATGTACTACTACATACCTGTCTCAGCGAAGACAATGTGTTCAAATCAATAATTCAATACCATCCATAAGAACAGTGGTTGCAGCTGTAAATCAGTGAAGTGTCTTAGGTCCTTTATTATGTCTTTCATTTTTAATAATGATATAGAGGATTGTATTTCCGACTGTACAGTTATAGCCTAAGACGATGAGGCTACATTATTTTTCAAAGGCAATATATATATACACTATATGACGGCATTTAAATGACGGCGAATTGTATACTCTCTCCATTACAGCTATAGACCGAAATAAATAAATTACAAATTAACGCAAACCAAACAAAGTGCACACTATTCCGGACTAAAAACATGCCAATTGAATCTAACTTAAATATAATTTTAATTGGGAATGTAATTGAGGTATTAGTATATTAGGTGTGTTTTTACAGGCAACTTCTCATGGAATCAGCACGTCGACTACATTCATCAAAAAGGTGAGAAGGGCTGTGGGTATGCATTGCACAGATACCGCACAATCAACTAAGATAATAATTTTCAATGATATTGCGCAGTCATATTTTTGTATTGTATCGTCGTATGGGGTACCACTACCCTCTAAAATATGAACAAGATTCTTAAAAAAAAGTACTAACACTGGTTGCAGATATGTCATGCTTTTATCACACAGATGCTTTTTTAAACTTAATTTAAGGTTGTTCGATCTATGAACCGATATTATTACGGACTCCTATTATACAACCCTAAAAATAAATAAACCTGTTTTTTTTTTTTTTACAAATATCAAACTGTAAATACTATAACCTATCACCCTTGACACGACTATGAGAAGTGTGGCATGTACCTACCCCCGCACAAACCATGGTATCGCATACATCAGATTCATTCTACCATCTTTAATAGAAAAACGCTTAATTATAAAATCTTCAGCCCTTATTGTCCATTTGATGGATTAATTTTGATAATATTTACCTTATAAGTTGCTACTTTTTTTTATAAAACTGTATTGAATCAACTGACGCAAAGCGAAAGACACCCCTGTACATACGATTAAGTAGCGAAGTTATCATTTCACCGTGTTAGATAAGTGCTGAACGCGAACTGCTATCTTGAAGCTGGGGCCTTATGAAGCTGTACTTGTTGCAGCTTTTTGCCCCTGCAACTATGTTTTTCTGTGAAATAAAATAAAATTGATTGATCAATTGACTGATTTATTTATATACACGTTTTAGGAAGTGTCGGAATTTTTTTGTTATATTATTTTTATGTCACATCTTCCCATTTCAATCTGGATGAGCATCGTACCGGCGTGCGGTTGTGTATCACTGCTGCATGACAAACGTTATAGAAAGCCCAGGCTAACTGTCACACAGCGCTGGCCCAATGTCTCATCTACAGCACGAACCAGCGTCGTCATAATATGGCAAACTGGCATCAGGCCTTCTAATGATACACCGTCTACAGGAAACGAACGTCGGACGTCTAATTTGCTTTTGTTTTTCTGCGGGCATCCTTCTCCTCTCGCCAGTAACGCATCAAGCACGCATGCCTCGTCTGAACTTATAGAAACAGCGGCTCAGAGTCAAATTGCTCGAAGCAGTCGATTCGAGAGAACGGCGTAGCAAATGCAGAAAGAAGGAAACGGCGAAACGCTTACGATTCTTGATCCGCCATGCCGGCGCTTTTTGAGGCTTCGGACGAGCCGCACCGTGGCGAGAACAACCCGAAAAGCGGCACCACAAAGCCGTTCCCATGGCAACCGCGACAGTTTTCCCAACGATTCGATCCCCACGTGGTTGGCTGCTCCGCCCGAACAAACCCGAACTGTCACGACGGACACGCCGCTCCTGTGATGCCGCGATCACGCTGCCATTAAAATCGCACAAAAGACAGTTTGCAGACCCTGTCTAAGATAAGTTTCTGATGAATGTCCTCTCGCGTTGGTCATACAAATACTGTCTGAAGACATTTTTGGAGCATGTACGAAACAGTAGGGTGACCAGACGTCCCGTTTTGTCCGGGACAGTCCTGTTTTTGAGGTCCGCTTCTGCCGTCCCGTCTTTTTGTCCCAATAAAGATTCATGTCCCGTTCTTTTCGGGACATCATTCTTTTTTTTTACATATATGTGCGCAGACAGCCGAGTCTTGCAGGATAAAGTCCCGCTTACGAAACTTCAGTCGTCGTCAAAATACGCCCACACCAACGAAGGACCCGAAGCAGGACCTTCCAAATGAGTGCATGCAACTGAACCGTGAGTGGGACTGTTTCCCAGGCCATACGGCTTAGTACAATATGGTAACGTTTTGAAATTAGAGCAGTTATTTCATTAAAGTCGCTCTCCCAATCTTAATCTTTAAAACGCCCCCCCCCCCCCCCCCCCTCCCCCCTCCCGCCCTGGGATGTCCCGTTTTCTACCTTGAGGAATACGGTCACCCTACGAAACAGACATGCTTCCAACATGCCTCAGGTGTGCCCCAGATAATGCTGTCATTAGGGAGTTTTAGGGAACTGTTTTCGTCCATCCAATACGGTATACGATGGGCCCTCCGGTACGAACTGCGCATGCGCTGCCGAAGAAGTCTGGCACATGCGCAGTGAGTACCGGAGGGCCCATCGTTCTGTATCGGATGTGCAAAAATGTTTCCCTAAAACTGCCTGTTATGTCTGGTGCGAACACCGTGTCTTCTCTCTTTGTATGATGTATGAGCATGTGTGTCTGCGACTTAACTCGGCGTTTGCAGACCGACAAAGAATTTCCGCTAGCAGACGAGTCGAAGATGTCTCCTTATAGCGGAAGCTGCAACAGCGATTTTTTTTACGAAGTCCTGGTTTTCACAGCCCCCTGCAGAGAACGCGCTCTCATGTAGTGCAAGCATCTTTGGGGCAACGCGCCCGTGCTTACTGCCCCTAAACTATCAAAGATCGGTGTTTTTGCTTTCCGTAACCGACCCACTTTCTTTTAGGGCAAAGTGTGTTCACATGCAGATGCAGCACACGCTTGCGTTTGAAAATATAGACTCTAGTCTGATTAGGTCGATGAACTCCGAAACGTGTTAAACCGGGGTCACACTTTCAAATACCGCATGGCAATGAGTTCAAGAAGAAACTTGGCACGCGGAATTCGAATCACAAATATTGCGGTGACTCGGGCTTGCAGACTGTCTTTTGTATTATGCACGAGCAGTGTCGCCCCGGCTTAAAGGAAGCTTGTCGCTTTCAATCAAGCTTTTTCTTTTTTAACTCACCTACAATATCTCATTATCATTAGGCGCGGCGCCACAGGCCTCCACGGTATAGGAAGCTTGCCTTTCTGCTGCACCGCGGCCGTACTGGGCCAAATCAAATGAATAGCGATATAGTGGCCATGGATTAGGAGCTGTGTTAGTACAGCGGCAGACTGTACCCAATTCACACTGCAGCGTAAAGGCACCTTTGACACAGGTACCTGTAGTAAGGGGAGCTGGAGATCGTGATCACACTGCGCATAAAAGTCCCTTTCGCTAAGGAAGCTCCCGTGTTAAATGGAGCTCGCCAAGCTTCCTTTGCAGCTACAGGGAGTAGCCTCGGACCCACGAACTCAAAATAAAAATCACAGATATATGAATATATCTTGTTTAATGCATAATAACAAATTGAATATATATAAGTAGGATATTATGAAACGATTGTGAACACGAATAGGATGGAATAATACATTAACGACGAACGCATACTTAGCTAGCAGGTAGCAGCGGCGGCACGTGGAAAACAATGTCTGCTACAAACCCGAACACGATGGACCACTGCGAGGCCTTTTTTGAGGTTCTAGACGGGCCGTCCGATTCTCCCGGCCAAGAATTTTTATCCTCGTCGTCGTCCATCCCCTTCGAAGGTGTGACATACGTAACCGTGAGACTGCGAAGTGGTTCGTGGTGGGAATATATCTTACTTTACACCAGCTTCCTGGCACTAGTGGGACCCAAGAATACTCGAACGCAACACCACTGACCAAGAAGCGTCTTTTTTCGCGGCGGAATTCAAAGCGTGAAAGCGTAGCTTTTCTTTTAGTCTCTCCTTCCAAAGCCGCCTTTTGCTCCTTCGCGAAATTTGATGACGGAGCTGTGGAGACGATAAAGAGTTTTAGTAGATCGTGTTTTCAGGCCACACTAACCGTATCGGGAGCTCGCGCTGCCACTTCGATGCGTGCTCTGAAGCACGCGCTCGTAGCGGTAGCGGGCCTTTGAAAACGATCTACTAAAACTCCCTAATAGAGAGTTTTAGTAGATCGTTCCGATACCTCCGATAGCCCCGATAACGATACTATGCATGCTCAAGGGAGGCGGTGGCGGAGTATCGGGTATCGTTATCGGAGGTATCGGAACGATCTACTAAAACTCTCTTATGGCAACAGTACGATCGCCCAGGAATGCGTCATCGAGCTTTGCGGTGACGATATTCAAATGCTGCTCACACAGTGGACGCGAAGACTGCGTACGCATTCGATCTGGGCTCGTGACAATCGATGCCTCGACATGCATTCGGGTAGTGGCCCGTGTCCAATCGCTGCAACGACGGCAATAGCCGAGCTATAACAATGTCTGGAACTCAGCGCGTGTCCTGTGCTTTGCCAACCCCAGCGCGTGGCTATGATCAACATTGGCGGCATATAATCGGCTCCAGATCACGTGGTCTCTTGTTCTGGCTGCGAATTGAGGGGGTGAACGGTGCTCGTTTTTCTTTATTTTTTTTTCTGGAACTTCTATTGCGTGGGGTGAAAAACGAACCCGTGTTTTATAGGTCATTAACGTCAGGGATCCGTTTTAAGCTTATTTCCGCAAAGTACAAAAATTGTTGCATCGCCCCTTTCAAAGCGAGAACTTCGCGGGAAAATGGAACTGTTATACCCCTGTTACACGGGCACACTTAACTGCAGTTACGCTAAACCGCAATTAGCGCACAAGACTTGCCGACAACATTCTGCGGCGATGCAGTCAGAGCTATGGGCGAACGTGCGCTTGAGCATCTTGAGCACCCATCAAAGCAGTGCACGCGCTCTCTTCACTTCTTTTGAAATAGCTGTCCGAGGGTATAGTGCGGCATCTGTGCTGCCACGTAACCGCAGTTAAAGCTGAGTTAACCGCGGTTAAGTGTGCCCGTGTAATACCCCTGTTACACGGGCGCACTTAACCGCGGTTAACTCAGCTTAACTGCTGTTACGCAGCACCATTGATACCGCACTATACTCTCGGACAGCTATTTCAAAAGAAGTGAAGAGAGCGCGTGCACTGCTTTGATGGGTGCTCAAGATGCTCAAGCGCACGTTCGCCCATAGCTTTGACTGCATAGCCGCAGAATGTTATCGGCAAGTATTGTGCGCTAACTGTTGCTTAGCGTAACTGCTGTTAAGTCTGCCCGTGTAACAAGGGTATAACAGGGGTATTACACGGGCACACTTAACCGCGGTTAACTCAGCTTAACTGCTGTTGCGCGGCACCCCAGATACCACACTATAATAGCTATTTCAGAAGTGAAGAGCGCGCGCGCACTGCTTCGATAGATGCTCAAGATGCTCAAGCGCACGTTCGCCCATAGCTTTGACTGCATAGCCGCAGAATGTTGTCCGCAAGTATTGTGCGCTATCTGTGGCTTAGCGTAACTGCAGTTAAGTGTGCTTAGGGCCAGTGTGGCCAGACGGGTCGGACGTCGCAAGACTCATTTAGATGCGTCCTTAGACTTTAAAAAAAAAAAATAAAGTGCCGCAAGTGCCGCAAAAGCAAACACAAATAATATTTAGGTTTTAAATGTGATATTTTACAGACGATAAGAATAAAAAAGTGCGCGTCAAACCGATTTTGAGGAATAATTGTTTATCACGGGGTCCTCTCGCGGTTTAGCAGGAATGCGATCGACATCAACCTAAAGTGCTCCATTTATTTGTCGTGTGATCAAAAAAGCCGTTTACTACAGGTACCTTCAGCTAAGGGACCTAAGCTAAAGGCACCTTTACGCTGCCGTGTGAAATCTTCAGAGCAGGGGCCCTATGATGCGCTTTTTGGACTCCCACGGTGACTATGGAGAAGAAAGTGACGTCAACAACGCAACACACGCAGATTGGATGTGGGATAGAAAAACTGGGTGGTTTATTTAGGAACAGTTATTAAAACGTACATTGGTACAAACTCGGAAACTTGGGTACGAGCCGGATGCCCATCCGACCGCCTCGATGGTCTCGATAAACACAATATGGCGGATACTCAAAAAAAGGCGTGATGTTCATCACGCTAATGCTGACGCTAACAGATGTTGATTTTGTTTTCTTCTGTCAACACCCAATCTGTGTTTGTTGTGTAGTTGACGTCACTTCCTTCTTTCTAGTCGCCGCGGGAGTCCAAAAAGCGCAACACAGGGCCCCAGGTCATTACGTATGTGAGTCGGACTTTTACAAAACCAGAGATTAACTACTCAACTACCAAACTTGAATGCCTTGCTGTGGCGTGGGCCATAAAAAAAATTTAGACCTTACCTTTACGGCCGCCACTTCAATGTAGTGACCGATCATCATGGCCTCTCCTGGATATATATGTATATAAAAGACTCAACACTTCAGTCCCATTGATGAACATCTCTAACATCGCAGCTACATGACCGAAGGCCGCCGCTGGCTCCTAGCGGTTTCATTCACATTCCGGACAGAAATTCTTCAACACTTTCATGACGACCCCACTGCAGAGAGTTCCATAGAAACGAAAACCGTGTTTTTCGGCTGGGGTAAAGCATCGCAGAAAGCTCAAACTTCGTGAAAATGTGGCACTAGCGGTTGGGATAGAACGTGGAAGTTTGAGAACATGACGTCACCCAGATAATTGAGAAAAACAAAATTTCTTTATGAGCTGACATGCAGCTAAGCCTAATATTATGAACAAAAAGGAATGAAACTGTGGGTGCCTGTGGTGTTTATTTGACGGAAAAAGAAAACAAAAACTTGTCGGTAAGAAGAAAAAAAATCTTTCTTGCTGAAAAGCTTTTTTTACTGAAGTAGATGCTACATGCTCCCATATATAATTTCTCGTTTAAACAATATTAGGCTTAGGTGGAAGAAGGCTCATAAAAAAATTTCGTTCTTCTCAATTGTATTTTGATAAAGGTAACGTCATGTTCTCAAACTTTCGCGTTCTATTCCAACCGCCAGGGTCACATTCTCACGGAGTTTGAGCTTTTTGCGAGGCATTGTTTATTCACCGGGACCGGAAAACACGGTTCTCTTTTTCGAAAGCTCCCTGCACACCAGTTTCAGTCCCAAGTGCCAACGCCAGAAGTGGCAATCATCTGGGCCGAGTCGTCTTCTTCAACCCTTTACTCCACCACGACCGCGTTTCGGGGTCCTGGGCGTCCACCTCCTTCGGCCCTTGCCGGCCGCCGTCTCGCGCGCTGGCGATGCCACTTTCATCTTAACGCTATCAATATCATCAATATAAATCCATAGCCAATGATTATGGCTTGGCTTTGGTCAAACAGAAGGCGCCGAAGTAAGCTGCAGAACAAAAGACGATAAAGAAGACGAGAGCGCCTGTCGCTGGTCGTGAGTACAGAATTGACTTTTTCACTACATCTCTGTGCCCTTAGCGCAAAACACATAAAAGTATAGAGCACTACGTTTCACAGTAATGCAGATTTATGCGCCAGCGCCACGGGTATTTTTTGCAACCATTTTCAGTGCCGGATGTACCCCTAACTATGCAAAATGTCCTTTCATTTAGAGTGATTTTTTTCTTGGCCCCACGCATACTACTCAATGCTCAACCATCCACAATTACATTGTGGCGTCCAACATTTAGGTTGGTAGGGCCTTTACGTCTGAAGACACAATATTTAGACGAGAAAAGTGACTAATTTTTTAAACTTAATATCACACTCATAAATATATACTTTTCGAAAGTCACGTGCCGATTGTTAGAAGGTTTGAACGACTACACAATGGTAAAACAACCGATACCGCAGGAAGTGCAAGTTTAATACTACATAATATAGAGATGAAGTGTAATCAGTAACATCTATAGTGTCCCAACTTTGGTGGTTTCACCGGTATGCGGCATTATGCTGGGGTTCGGCAGCTTTCAACGTAGAGTACACTTTCGAAACGGATCTTGGGTATCCGCCACCACCACGGTGGAAGATATACATTTAAATGATGACTCTGTGTCCGACGCGGTGACCACATTATGTTCGGCGCACCGAGCGCGCTTCACTCGTACGGGGATAGATGGCGCCCAAGTATAGTTAGGCTTGTGAAGGCTTGTATAGAGGGCCTGTGAAGGGAAATTATGCATTTTTTGCTCGGTCCTTGTGAACTGTGTGGTGATATGATGGATTTACGTTGGAGGATTGGCACTGATTGCCTTTTCCCCCGTGCGTTTTTTTTTTATCTATAAAATTTCGGTGATGACTCAACGTGACAAAAATACTGGTATAAATATAAAACCTCATGACACAATCTACTGAGGTTTCAATAATTTAGAGTAATTTAAAGTAATTCCGTTAAAGAGCTGGGTCGTGCTCGCATGTTTTGTCCGGCAGCATGTTTGGTAACAGTTCCGTAAATTGTTTACACACATTGCGTGGCCCTTCAAGGCCACGCAATGTTTGTAGGAGGTGGGGCGATTTCTTTCGACCCTGCTCCTGCCTTCTTATTGAAAAAATAAATTATAATAATGTAGCCTAGTGGGGGCTAAATAATTCTTTACATACGCAGAAACATCGTATGTATAAACCATTACAAATGGTTTATACATACGATGTCAACTGGTACTGTGGTAAATACAAACCACGAGCGCAGAAAACATTTTTATTTATGAGTACATAGTGACTAAAATGATGACGCAGTATGATGACCTACTGACTGAAATGATGATACACTGACTTGAAAGTCAAACAGTAGGAGCGGCTATATGACATAAATCACTTCTCGTCTATACCCTCACAATATGGCGTCGCCCCGTCCTACAGGTAAAAAAATACCTGACAAATATTTTTGCTTTAAATTATACACAAAACCTGAATTCACTGCATACTACCAAAGAACGCCATTTCCTACATCCTGTGTTTCTCGCCCACGGACTTAAACTAAGACAAGCACTGTTTTGATGGTTTGTTCTTTTCTTGAGCTTGTTTGTTCATACTCATGGTAATAGGCTTACACTGTTGTCGCATTCGCATGCTGGTGTAGTAGTGGAGCAACTGGGCAGTTGTTTCTTCTTTGTGTTCAGCGCATGGAAATGTTACTGTGCGTGTGTCAAGAACACTGTCGATTGTGTCCCAGTAGACAGTCTGGCGGCTTTTATTTTCAACGAAGAACTGTTCCGCTTTCTTCAGTATCTGGAAAAGGTTCCTGTTGGGGTGTATAAGGCCTCCTCTGTTCTTCACGTTTGTCAGGGCTGCTTCAGCAGAAGTGTTCTTGTCGATGCTGAAAGGTGATCGGCATGCAGGGCAGCGTGTAGCGTTTTTAATTTTCACACTCAAAAATTCAGTTACATAATAGAGTATGCAGTCCACAGCCTTTTTTCCTTCAGCCTTTTCTGTCCAGACATCTTCATCTTCCCAAGCTTCGACAGAAATTAGACTGTCAAGCTTGGTCTTCACTTGGTCAACGAGATGAAACAACGCGCTTTTATCCTCCGTTCTGATTAGGGATCTGAGATCTGACACGCTAAGTGGTGACCTCTCCCCTTCAACTACTCTACAGTTGCCAAACTTCGGAGGCTTCAGGATAGAGTGAATGGACCAGGTGGAAGAAATACCCCGAATTGCAGTTGGGAACGAAGCATGTCTTTCCCATCCTTATAGCATAACTTCTTCTACGGGTTAAGGCTCACCTTCGTGCACGATGGTGGCACCTGTGATCGACACAGCACCAAAGCAAAACACGAGGCCAGCCACTGGCCGCACAGCACCACCACCGCCACCACATCGCAAAAAAGGTGAGCACGCTACTCCGCCGACATCGTTGTCGCCGAGGAGGGATCCCATACACACGGTGCGCATAGCTTAGAGGCCTCCGCGGCGGCGCGGAACTAACTACTCCTGGTTCGAGGCTAGCTCCGAACACGATCTGGTCGCTCGCTCCCCGCGGGAGGAGTGGCCAGAGTCATCACCTAAATATATTTCTTCCACCGTGGTTACCACCACCAACAACAAAACATTTTTCTGTTATGCTGCCCCTGTCATTCCAGCCCTAAGATGCCTTACCGGCATCTTATGCATGCCGGCTGTTAAAATCTTTGACCGCAAGGAATGTTGATATTCAGTGTAAAATAGAGGACAACCAATTTGAGTTTTTATTCGAACGAATTTTATGCGCTTTAATAATTGTTATTTTGTAGTGTCGTGGATGCGTCAATGTATCGATTCCTCCCCTTTGTTCTCCCAAAAATTTGCAACACCATGTCACTTCGCACTACCTTACTATACGACTGCCTTTCAAGTCCCCCTTTATGTAGCAAATTAAGATATATTTCGATTGCAATTTAGATTAGATATATGTTATCTTATTAAGATGTGCAAGTTTCAAACGCCGAAAGCATCGCTTGTTGTTACGACAACCACATCTTGCAAGAACTACTTCAGGTGGCGTATGAACAACGCGCAAAACTTCATTTTTTTTCTTGAGGTAAAAACGAGTATACTTGTATGGTCGGCATGCCTCGCTTTGGCGCCTGCGGTTACAGGCGGAAATGAATACGAACCTATCCCTTCTTTAATTATTTTGTAACACAAAGCTTGTGAAAATGCTCGCCTCATTGCTGGCACCTTTCTCATCGCTAAGCTTATACGCTTTTGTAATGCATTCTATACATGGCGTACGCGTGACTTCATCGCGTCGAACGAGTGGACATTCCTGTTTGTTATTGCCGCCCTCGAAGTCATTGGCTGTCCAACGACTACGAGACAATCAGCTGCCGGTTGCCAAAGCGTTATCGCAATAATACTTACGTTAGTGGTGGTGTTACATTGCCACGGATACAAAACTCTAATATTTCGAACCAAAAAAAAAAAATGTGTAAAGGTGCGAACTTTTGTCTACAAAACTGGCAACAAAAGCAACACACATTTTTCGGCGAAGGAAGGGGAACTGACACTGAGCAGCACTCAGGAACGTTCTGAACCAGAACTCACGTTGATGGCCGAAATGCGCTGAAACTTTCCAAAAATGTAGATTCATAAAAAAAAAAAAAAAAAAAAAAAAAATTAACGGGAAAGAGTGGGTTCGAACCCTGCTGGGCCAATATCACAGAAAACAAGGCGTAGGTCTTTTCTTCTACGCAAAATCAGCCCAGCATGGTTCGAACCCTGTTCCTCCTCCTGGCAGCAGCGTGCAAAGCCAACTCTGCCACGCACGCCGCAATATTTCATCACTACACACGACTCAAATAGCGGTCTGTGTCCTGACACCGATCGTCGGCCTCTTTCACGTTGCGTGACAGTGCCGCCTTAACGAGGAAACACACCAGGACACCAAGATGGCGTCCGGCGGCCCCTCCATCCCGTCCGAGGAGCCCGACGTGGTGGTGTGCATTCGCGGCAGCGAGTTCCTGGCGCACAAGGAGATTCTGATGGCGGCCAGTCCGTACCTCAGGGACGTGCTCCAGGAGATCGGCACCGAGCAAAAGATCAAGGTGGAGCTGGAGGGGGTGTCGCCGTCGGCCTTCGAGGCCCTCCGCTCCTACATGTACCTGGGAAGCATCCGGATCACCTGCCAGAACGTCACCGAGGTGTACCGCTGCGCCTACAAACTGCGCATCCGCCCCCTCATCTCTAAGTGTCTCCAGGTCGGTGGCTTCAAATCTTGCCGAAGTAACGGCATGATGCCTGGAATGTGTTTTAGACTGATGTCAAACGCCATACTTGAGTGCGCTGTTCAGAGCGTATGCTCCGAACGAGCTCACGCTAGTAGGATGTCAGGACCGACAGTCTCGATGATGTGGAGTGCACGTTGCGAACGCGCTGTAGAACTTGCCGTCAGCTCGGTCTCAGAAGACACCAACTCAACTATGGCCACCAGTGAACACTCCCTATATAATGGGAGAGTTCGGTTTTTTTTTTGTGAAGATATTGACAGTCTAGCAGTTAGGACCAGGATCGCGGTCGGGCACAGTGTGACACTTTTATGATGTCATGAGGTGGAGCACTTTTTAGGACGCAGTAAACACATCAGTCAGAAACGTGTTCCAATCATCACGGTAACAGGTCGACTCTTCTCTTTGACATGTTAAATCATCTCCTATTATTATAAAAAAAAAAAACATATTACAGCGGAGTTGTTAAGAGATAGGTTCCCCAGGATCGTGTCCGGTTTGTCGACACAAACCTACCTGGACAGCTACCGCCATCTTAAAGCGATGGCGGCAAGCGCACAGCCAGTATGGTTTCCGCCGTCGCTCGTAGATGGCGCCAACCGTTCCATGCTCCAGCTATAATAGAAGAATGGATATTTGGGCGCGTTGGTGGGAATTCATCGTAGGAAACAGCGCGAAAAACAACCGACGACGGAGAAGCACACAGTGTATCGAGTACAGCTCCGCTGGTCTTCCTTCTTCACGAGAGTGAAAAGGCTGAACGTTTTTTTTTTTATAATTTAAAAACATTTTTACGTTTTATAAAATGTTAAAATGAAGTATCATCGCCAACCGCTCAGTCTCGACCGAAATGTAGCGCTAGGGGCCCGGACCAGACGCTTAAAGTTTCAGCACTAAACGTTATCGTGCCCAAAAGCTAGAAGCGATTTTTTTTTAAAAATTCCAATGAGAAAACGCATAGTGCCAGTTCTCGGGAGTTTTTTTCGTAATTCAACGCCATGTACTCATGGGTTTGTCGGCCACCATTGTACCACTAAAAATGTCCGAAAATCGCTAAGTACAACTTTTGAATAAGGTCCCGGTTTGTCTTGAAACTTTATCCGATTCGAAAATTTAGTGCTACACTTGGGCGGAAGCTGAGCGTTTGACAGCGTGTAATTTATTCTTTCGATTAAAGAAAAAATCAAAACACGAATATAGTTTTCGTAGAAAGGGGGTGGGGGTTTGAGGGGGGGGGGGGGGGGGGGGATACCTTGCACGTTGAAACTGTACTCGCAGACAACTTTCTGTGGCATTTCAGAAGCGAAGGTTGCGTGTGCACAGCTTTGGTCTGCTCTCAAGACGCGCGAGGGCACGGGCTCCCAGAGCTTTAACTGCGTACAGCCACAGAAAGTTGGCCGTGAGTATATGGTGCCTGGAACGAGTCTCCGACTGATGTATTTAACACGTTCACAAAAGTGGTCCCTCGATTTCCGCCTGATGACGTCATAGAAGTGTCATGCTCTCACCGGTCGCGATCCTGGCGGTGTTACAGCAGCGGTGGTGGATGTGGCAGACGCCTGTTCCGCTGCAGATCGCTCTCCAGTTTGAAGATACACGGCTGCGATGACAGCGAAATTCGGATTGTCTCATGGTTATTTTTTTTTTTGCCGAGATTTTTAGCATTATTTGCCAGGATCGCAACATACGGCAACAAAGGGTAGAGAACCTGTATTAATGCGAAAGCATGAACTGTCCCATAAAACGAAGCCAGCGTTGTCTGTAACCGTCTGTATGAGTGAAACGGCAGTTAAATTCCCACTGGCCAAAAGCACTCCAACGCAGATGCTTCGTGACGGAACAGATGGGGGCCAGGGTCAAAGCGGACGCGCCTGAGAAATAAAACACAAAGAAAAGCGCACCAACGCAGATGCATCGTCAGAGAAGCCGTGGAGCCGGCGGGGTTCACCGCGCCGGTTCCAATCTCGTTAGAGGGTCTCCGACAGGCATAATCTAGTTAGAGGGTCTCCGACAGGTTTGTTCAGCGAGGACGCTGAACACACCTGTCGGAGACGCGTTCCATGCACTGTAAAACGTGATATAATAGGATTTAGGCTTAAGGAGCTCTCGCTGGTCGCAGTATCTGGCCGAGTCCGGCGAGGTGGGCCGTCACGTGGTGCTGTACGTGAACGCCATGAAGGTGGGCATGCGCGACGAGGAAAAAGTGGCCTTCCAGTTCCTCGTGGAGCACTTCGACAGCGTCATCCGCTCCAGGGAGTTCCTGGACCTGAACCTGAACGAGCTCCAGGCGCTGCTTAGGGTGAGTTTGGAGGGGGTGTCATCTACAAGAAGGCAAGGTCTGCTTATTACGTCATTAATAGTGAATGCGCAGCCCGCCCCAAGCGGCAAACGTGCCGAAGTTCTACGAGGGTATACGTGGCAAAGCCGTGGAAGCGTGTCTCTTGGCGTCGTCGTATGCTAGGGTTGTGTTCCTTATAACACGCTGCAAGACGTGCTGGAGGCAACGGGGACGTGAGCTAGGAGGTGATGCGTTCATATATTCAGAAAGCAAGTCGTCTGCTTATTGCGCAGGGGTTTCGGTGACGTCAGAACGATGCTGGGCTTTGATTAGCTTTCATTGAAATGATAGCGAGTAGACCTCAATGCTAAATGCCTTCATGTATACCCCTCCTTTTTTATCAGCCAATAGGAGCTCGGCGTTTTAATATCATCGTCGCTCCTATGCAAGAAGCAGACGAACTTGCGCTCCGCATAGTGATGATGTTAAAGGAGGAAAAACGGAGTTCCGGAACGCCTGTGTTGTGTGGCAACTTCAGTTTATAATCGATGGCCTCTCTCCGTTCAAACCAGTACTTTTTAATAACCTTCTCTTTATTATAATTTGGCTACACGTTTTTACGTCCATAAGTCATAAAATGAATATCGCTTTTTTTTACGCGTGCTGGAAACTTGCGCAGAAAAACCAAGCCGCTTTGTGCTGACGGGGGAAATTTCTGTGACTTTTCTTTGCCGCGTGATGTTATCTCGTTTGGATTAAAGTCAATGGATGGTGACTTTAGGCCCTTTCAATGACTTTTACCCTGCCATACTGGATGGTGATATCATAACCCAGTACCACAGGAAGACCTGCTACTGCGTCAGTGCACGAGGAGCCTCGTGCACTGCCGTCTTTATCCTGAAAACTAAGGTTATGGTGGTGTCACGCTTGTTCCGAACATTTGGTCCGTGTTCCAAAATTTATTCGCTCTTACTCCAGGGTAATGGTTTTGTGCCCTCGAGTTCCAAAACCTACCTGTGTCTAGCATTGCTCTATCTGTCTTCTTACGTAGCACGCCCCGTCCGAGTAACTCGGATCTATTTGGGTAAGATTTGGAACATACTCTGAATGAGATAGGTCTATTAACCAAACCTCTAAGAACAGCGCTTTGCTTACGTTAGGTGTGGCTTTCCCTCACTAAGATAACGTGCGCAGAAAAGCCAAACTGGATTGGGAAGGGACAACCCCGGCGCTGGGCGATTTCAAACAGATGAAACATTGGGCTCTAAGTTCACACTCAACGAGAAAGCCACCAAGACCGCCAACTACTGCCATTGGCCAGCGCCGCACTTGAACTTGCCGCTAGCCAATAGCAGCGCGGCACTGGCCAATTGCAGCACTGCGCTGGCCAATCGCGGTGGTCGGCGACCTCTCCGACTTTCTCGCCGGGTGTCCAACTTGCAACTGCAATTATGATTGAAATCGAACGCTTTTTTGAGTAGCGTGCACGAGACTTGTTCTCCTTTCGTTTTGACTGTTTGTGGCCGCAGTCTGACGTCCTTGGCACGAGTTCGGAGCTGAACGTGTACGTTGCGGCACTGGCGTGGCTGGACCACGACTACGAGCGACGGCGCTCGATCGAGGAGCAGGTGCTGGATTGCGTGCGCTTCCCGCTGATCGACGATCAGACGCTGATGCGCTGCTTCAAGCCGCCGCTGTGCCCGGACGCCGCCGTCAACGCCGCCGTCAAGCTCAAGATGGTCAAGGCCGTCTTGTGGGTGCTGCGCCTATACACCTTTCCAATAATCGCGTTCTTTCTGCTGCCACCTTAGTAGAGCTACGCGTTCCCCGGAAATATTAACTGACTCCCTTTCATTACATGACACCGTTTGTTATATATTTTTCATGGGTTATGTGGGCGGGAGCGTAATCACATAATCAAAGACAGACGTGAGACTGTCCAAGAAGCATGTATCTTCCACCACACTGTTAGCTTTCGCATGAGTGAAGCATAGCCCGTGACCGACGTACTCACGGGGTCGTTTTCATTAATTATTTTGTCAGAGGGTAAAACACCTCCATTTTGCCCACCGACTTAACATGCTGGTTGTGTGAAAAAGAAAACTGAGTTTTTTCACTGCTAAAAAAAAAAAAAACCTACGCGTCGTTGAACGTTTAGTTTTACCCAAATGTATTGCTAGCGCTTGTAAACGAGATATTAAAGTTACTAATCTTAGCGCTTTCCGATTCAAAATTTAAACGCGATTTTTACAAATTTATTTTTAGAAAATGGGGCTCGTTTTTAGTGGCAGACGTCACTCATCTTCATGCATTCGCTGTTTTCGTTGGCCGCCATTTTCTCATTGTTTAAGCGGGAAAATGCTGCGGTTTATTTCGTTTAACGTTTTTCCTAACGTAACGCTCAAAAAAACAAGACGAACCCCAAAGAACATTCTACACACACACACAAAAAAAAAAAAAAAGAGATGCCTCGTGCATAGCAAGACGCTGACTTGCTGCGCTTGTGTACGTTTGGCGCTCCGCCAAACGTACAATGGACCTTTTCCGAGAAGCGTTTTGCGCACGCGCGAGCACCCGATGCCAAGCGGCAGAAGTCGGCACGAAAAATCGAGGAAATTCGGAAGGAAGCCAGGGATCAGCGAGTAGAACACGTAATTGCAGAATATGTACAATTGTGTTACACAAAAAAAGGAAGTGGATGGAAATAAAAACACGACATTTCGGTGGACGCCACGGATGCCCCTCTTTACAGTCGCGTTAGGCACGCGCCGCAGTTCAGAGTGCAAAGAAACTGGTAGCGTCGCTCCCACTATCGATTGGTAACGCAGGTAGATTACTTCCTTGATTTTTAGTTCGCGCAGCTACCGCCTGGTGCCGTCGGTATGTGGAAAAGGTCCATTTCACCGAACATCTCATTTATACATAGAACGTGAAATGACTGTAACCGCCTTCCGTATTCGCTATACTTCGTTTCACCTGAAGTTGAGACGCAGCCGACGCTACGAGCTCATGGGATCCATCAGACATCGATAAAAGCGCACCATCATGGCGTTTCTCATGTTTCTGTACCTGTTATATCATCATTGAACTAATCATCAGCAGAAAAGGCCTAATGAATTACGCTTTTGACGCGGCTTGATTAGCCCCATTAGCTCGTAGCGTCGTCTGCGTCTGGACTTAAACTGAAACGAAGTATAGCTGCAGTTACTTATTCGGTTCTTTTAAATGCGATATCATTTTCGCTGCCCTCCCTAAATGGGTAACGAATTTGTTGGAGCGCTCTGTTTCGCTGGCGAGAATGAAAAAAACGAAGGAACCAGAAATATAATTAAAAAAGGTAGGCTAAATGACCGACTGTATAAAGAAGAGTTATAATACACAAATTTAATGGAATAGATGATCCGAAGAGGGACGTATATTTATAGCAAAAGGTAAAGTGAAGGGGTGTAAATGTTTCTAGGCTAGGTGGCGCAAGCTACCGCCCGGTCAAAAACGAACAACCAACACCATTCATCTATTCATCATTCATCCTGTGATAGAAGACATACGCTTGCTGGAAATGTTCTGGTCGTCTTCATGGCTCCGTAAATAAAAGGTCGTCTTCACAACGCCTCGTTAGAGACCACCGTTTGGCTAGGGACGAAGGCGGAAGATATGTTTGTTCTGCTACAACCAAGGGCTAAGTGAGAGAACGAGGTTCATCTGTATTGAATCAACCGAATATGAATTTCAAAGAAGAAACGTAGAAATTCTATCGATGTTTGACGTAGTCTGCAGCAAAGAACCGCAGAGACAGTCCCGTATGTTCTTTAAAAAAACAACTTACTAACGGCATATTTAGTTCAGTTTAATTTAATCAAGTGTTATTCACTGCACAGTGCTGCACGAGAGGAACACAACTACATGGCGTAGCTTGACAAGTTCCTGTCTCCTCTAAGTTTTGAAAACTTTGCCAACATGTAACCGGTTACTTAAAAAAACAGACAGTAAAAATGTAGCATAGTAGACGTTCTAAAATAATGAAAAAAAAAAAGGAATCATGCTACATCTAGAGCTTGTTTAATATGTATCGTTAGTGTTATCTGACCATTTGACATGGTCTCGCATATGACTTAATTATCATCTTTTTGTTGTTCACTCTACTCTCTAGCATAACTTTTACCTCACTTCAATAATTAAAAATTTAATACATGGATTAATCTTTCCGCAGCACCCACCTGGCCTTGCTCCGGGACCGAGAAGATTTAGCCGTGGAGTACCGCGCCCGTCCCAGAATCTATTTGGTCGAGTTCCCCACCGTCAGCTGGGTGAGATATGCCGCCACACAGCTCTGATACGCGACACAGCGCAACAGCACACCGATCAGAGTGATTAAAATAGGCAAGAACGTACACAAGGGCCAATGGAGGACAGATAACAACACAACGCTAGTCTACTTGTCCTTGTGTTTTTTACGCTGTTTTATTTATTATGATCAGTCACCGACTTGCGCAACTGCGCACCCTGCTATAACGAACTGACGTTTTCGTGGCTCCTAGTATTGTTAATTTAATTTACGTTTATTTGTTCTACTATTTGTCCTTCAGGCAGCAATTAAATAGGCAAACGTGCTAAGTAAATGAAGATAAAGTTAGTGGAAGGGTGGCTAATTTCAAAGGACGGATAGAGGTTACATATGCATTAATATTATTAAACCTGAAGTAAAGAAGTAACAGTTAGGTAGATGGGGGGCAAGTCACCATCCGATTCAAAGCGAACGACCGCCATGCCATCCATCCATCCATCCATCCATCCACCCATTAAAAGTGGATGGATGAATGGATAGATGCATGGCGATTGTACCCCCTCCCCCCTCTTCCCCCCCCCCCCCCCCCCCCCCCACACACACACACACTTCTCCCCTTCACGTCTTTTCCGCTGGGCGGCGTCACCTTCTTTGGAAGGGCAAATAGTATGTTGCGAGATAGGCCCTGCATAAGAGGCTCCTACCTTCAATTCACAGAGAAAAATGGCGTCACTATGATATCAAACAAAAAGGCAGCGTTCGTCTGACGTCACAGGAAAAAACGGGGACGGTCAGCGCCCTTTCTTGGAAGTTCGGCACCAACAATGGCCACAAAATCAAAGCGCCACCTAACGCCTAATGCACGTCAGTGTATTGTGCACGAGGAAATTTGGTGAATTGGGCGTTGGACATACCAACACTACCAACGTTTTTAGCAGGTCGTTGGCGATTAAGCGAGTGTTCGTCGATGCGATGTAGCCTCTGTCATATTTGACTGCCATGTCAATAGCGCGGTGCCTATAGAACGGACACCTCTGGAAACTCTCACGTGTTTCCGATGAGATCGAAAATGGTTGATGCAAGCGTCGCCACCATATGTGTGACACATTTTTATACCGTGCTGTATCGGTATGATCCCTCTCAGAAAAATAGAGTGTATTCTTACACTCTTTGTCCCATATAAGACATTCCAAAACTTCAGTTTGACGTACAGCGCACTGACTTCGAACCAAAGGTACCAACGTTCACGAGAGGCTTGATAGCCGTGTGGTACAACTTGTTAAAATATCTAATGCTCGTGTTACTGACTAGAGAAGAAATAATCGGAGTTTCCTTGGCCTTACTGCAAAACCTCAGTGCTTTCTTTTTGTGGTCTTTTATACGTACTTTAGCTGTTTAATATTAAAATATATCCCACCGTTATCGAACCCCTCGTAAAATTTGGGGCCGTCTGTTCGACTAGGGTGCGCTGTACGCCGAACTGAAGATTTCGGGTGCATTATATGGAACAAAAAAGTGTAAGGCGACACCTCTTTTTTTTTTTGAGAGAGAGAGAGAGAGAGTGAACAGTATGGGAGGGCAGTGCCTCTTTCGGTTGTTCGCATCTCCAACGCGAATGGTTCGTGATGCCTGGTGCACACCTAGCGTTGAGCTGTCCTCTCGCCTTCAGGACAAGAACGGCGTGCTTCGTAACTACGAGAAGTGTTCGTACACGCGGGAGAACCAGGCCATCCGCCACGAGGCCGCCACCTGCATCCAGGACGCCTTTCGAAGACACCGCGGTTGGCCGCTCAAGGTGCGTCCTATGATAATACACTAGCGATTTATGCATTAAAAAGACAAAAATATCAGTGCCTAGATTAAACATACATTGCACACATTTTATAAAACAACAATGAACACAATATAGCTATATTTCAAACTATCAAAACACTTCAGCCGTCTATTTGTTTAAAATCGTGGGGTTGGCAGTTTTATCTAAAATCTGAAGATTTATTTGAAATAGCGGAAAACGCTTTTCCGTCCTCAAGAAATGTTAAAACACTCATCGACAAAGCAACGCAAGATCGCCCTAGCTTCCCCAACTAAGAATCAGGAACTATCGCCAGTTGCGCTTGTTCGACACTTCGCAACACAATGACGTGCCCACAACGCATTATTGGATTTGAGTGCTGATACTCTAACGCGTAGCGTATTTAGAGAATTTAGCGGTGATCACCCCAAGGAGAAAATAGTCACACACAGCTCATGGATTGAAGATGAGCACTGCGTGTGCTCTCAACTTGAACTCAGTGGCCATCACTGCTTCGACAGACATCTTGTTTGGGTCTTGTGTCCAGTCGCTGCTGTGACGGAAATAGCCGAACCCTAGCGATGTCTGGAGCTCAGCACGCACCCTACACTTTCCTAACCCCAGCGCGTGGCTATGGCGAACATTCCGGCGTATATAATCGGCACCAGATCCCGTGGCCTCTTGGTCAGTCTGCGATGTGGAAAGGATAAACGCTGCTCGATTTTCTCCAATCTTCGGCGCAACCGCTAGAGTAACTGACAGGGAGAAAACGGCAGGGCATCCCTTTTCTATCCTCCGGCCTCCACCAAGCGCTCATTCGCCTTCCGTCGTACTTTGCCTGCGAGTGCATGCTGGAAGCTCATGAGACGCCAAAGAGCTAAAGGCGGAACAGCTAATGGCCGCCCGGCCGTTCTATTTCTTCGATGACTATAATCATTTCCTGCACCTATCACTCAGCTTGAAATTGCCGAGTCGCTCGAATCTGTACGCATGATATTTCACGAGGGAGGTCTGCTACGTATGTTCAGAACGTGCTCCATAGGCCAGGAGACAAAGATGGTAGCTCGCAGGAGGGGTAACTGGAATGGTATATACTGCCGAGGCCGGTTATAACGAAGTCAACGGGAATCGTAAATTACTTCGCTATTTCCTCTATTTCGGTATAACCGACTTCGGTTATAACGAAGTGTAAAAGGAAATGGGAAATTGTGATCGCCTCGCTGTAGCCGTTATTTCGTTAAAACCGATTTTGTTATATCCGGTCTCGACAGTACACCAACGCCGCCCTCTGACGTCACGCTGCTGCGGTGGCGCTGCTGTGGGTACCGCGCGTGCGCAGTCGCTTCATCTCACGCGGATCTGGTTTCTGCGCGCATGCGCAGTGCCCACACGTAGTGTGGGCAAACCCGGGCTTGTTTGTAGACAGCGTGTGGACGTGCAGTAGGCGCAACGAGGTAGAGGGGCTTAGAGCGATAAACTGGTATCCCGAGCACCAGTCAAAAGTGACCCCCACTTGGCTGCCGCCATGTTGAACAATTTTGACCACTAGACACGTGACCGTACCAAATCCTGAGGCCTTTACGTAAAACTGAGCCGAGATCTGTATAGCGATTGCTGTAAAAAACCTGATAACCTTTTTTTTTTTCAATATTGTTAGCCCCAGAAATTAGTATCTAGCTCCGATAAAAAGCCAAAATACAGCACCTCAGCTGACGGCAAAGCTGCCCGAGTTTTCGTCGTAAGAACACATTTTGGGCTTAAAACAGACAAAACATAACTTATCTGGTAGGTACTGTTATTAAATATCAATAAGGTGCGCTGTACTTCGTTAAAATCTAGCCGTACGAATATAAGGTCACGTGTCTAGGGGTCAAAAATGTGCGAGATGGCGGCGGCCAATTAGGGGTCACTTTCAGCTGCCAGTTTATCGCTCCAAGGCCCTCCACCTCGTTGAGTAGGCGGAAAGACAAACTAATCTTTTTTTTCCTAAGTTATGGACGTCGGAGAATTCCGAAGTATTTCGAAGTATTTCCAGCAGCACGCGCCGAAAGGGAGAAACTTCTTGTCTGATCTGCGGTATACGTGGCTTTTTTGTTGTCGTGCCTTTCGCGCAGTCCACATTGCCCAAGCTGGACTCCGGAACGGATGTGGGGGACGCAGGTGCTTCCTACGTGGAGTTCGTGCCCACCTGGGTGGACTCCAGCGAGGTGAGCCTGGGCTCCCCGGGAACGCACAGAAGAAAGCTGAACTTCTTGCTCAAATAATCAAACCTGCAAATTGTAAAAAAAAAAAACAAACAAACAAACAAACAAACAAACAAAATTTGTATGTTTTTTTTAATATAAACTACACATCGCGGAACGCTCAGTCACTGTCAAAATGTAACGTATACTTTACTGATCCGTCATTCAACTGAGAGGAATTTCTTAGGCCGGAAACTTTTTTTGAGCACCGTCATTGCCTCAGTTGATCTAAGCAATTAATAACAGAGCGCATGCTCTCGATGATAATAGATCATTTCTTGGTGAAGGTTTCTGAATTTTTTAATTATATAAAGACAGCTGTATTTTTTTGTTTGCTTTGATTTGGATAAAGTCGGTTCCATATCTACTTTCTGGGGCTTTTTGGTATATGCTCAAAGCGCGGAACCCTGCTTAGGAATAGGTTGTAGACGTCTCGGTTTAACCAAAAAACAACGGCAAGTATTTGTCGGTGGCAAAAATACACGATCGGTTAAAGCCGAAAAAATATCGATAAACATCTATGGCGCAAAAAATACAAAATCGGTTCAAACCGAAAGAAACACCTATTTCCGAAAGTTTTGTTCCAGCATGGACGTTTTTGAGTGCAAACATTCTCCTCTTAGACTAAAGTTCCTAACTTTTCATAAGCTCTTTCATCAATAATCGCCGTTTTAGTGTCCGTTCAAAGCAGATCAACGAAATACCCCTCCATCCTGAAAATAAACACTCCAAAAATAACTGTCTTTCCTCTTTATATAAATAAACTGAAAAATCCATGACCTACCTATTAAGTGGAACACGATGGCGCGTGCTTTCCCAGTCGCTGTCAGCCAAGATTCGCAAGGACCGTTCACAGGAGATGGAGATAAACACGTCCGTCTACGAGGCCATCCCGGAGAGTGTGGTGCTGGCCCAGTGCTACATTCGCAGATACCTGGCCCGCAAACACTTCCGCGCGCTCCACGCACGAGTCAAAGTGAGTGATCCTCCAGAGCATACCTGCCGAGAGACCGCCGGTGATGTCACCTGACAATGTGACGTCATGTGGCACCATGACGTGTCATCGTGATGTTAAAGCACGTAAAATCATGACGTCAAAACGTCACGTGACAGCGCGCGACAGCGACGGCTTTACATAATTACTGAACACTCTCAATGCGCCCTTCTGTGGCGGCCTTATTGTGTTCGCAAGAGGAGTAGCGCAAAAAAGGCCATATGCAAGCTATGCATTTAGAACGCCTTCGGAAGATGCCGAAGAGACAACCATTCTTTTCTTTCCGGACGCAGCCTGTGGTCGAGCTCGAAAACGTGATGGAAGAAGACGACCCCTACCAACACTTCTTGGTCCGACACCCTGGATCGCGCTCTCTGCCACCCATCACCTGGGACAACTTCCCAGCTCGCGTCCTGACCAAGCACTTGGGACCCCTGCAAGAGTTGAACTCTTCCGTGGTCCTACTGCTGGGCGGAGTGGAGCCGACCAAGAACCACGAGCTGGGAACCAGCTGCACCATATTGCGCTACAATCCGCGCACGCGCGCTCTGTCACGTTGTGGCCGCCTGCCTCAGCCCCGACACAACCACACTGTGGCCTTCCTGGACGGGTTCCTTTACGTCATCGGCGGTTTCGACACCCGGAACACTCACGGCGCCGTCAAGTTCGCCACCAAGACGTGCTTCCGCATGTCCGTCGAGACGCGTCGCTGGGAGAGGCTTGCCGATATGAGGCACGCGCGATGTAATCATGCCACCGTGGCCTGCAACCGGAAAGTGTACGCCATCGCCGGACAGGATGAGTTTGACAGGTACTTGCGGCTTTATTGTACCTGTGAACTTTGGTACCTGCGACGCTAGGTATAGTGATGACGTTACGATACCTCTGACGTTATGGTAGTTCGGACGCTTCGGTACCCGTGATGCAGTCGGACTGTAATGTTATGGTAGTTGGGACGTGATGGTATCTGTGACCTGATGGTACTTGCAACGTTATCGTTATGATACCTGTAACGTTTGGTACCTGTGACATAATGGTATCTCTGACGTTATGGTACTTTGGTATAGTTATGACGTTACCGTATCTGTGTCGTTACGGTAGTTGGGACGTTATGGTACTTGGGACGTAGTTGGAGTGCTATGGTACCTGTGACGCTATGGTAGCTGGGACATGATGATACCTATGACGTTATGGTACTTTGGTACCTGCGTCGTTATGGTACATGTGACGCTATGGTAGCTGGGACGCGATGATACCTGTGACGTTATGGTACTTTGGTACCTGTGTCGTTATCGTACCTGGGACGCTATGGTACTCCTATGACTTTATGGTACATGGGACCTTGTGCTACCTGCGACGCTATGCTACAGTGCCAGGAACGCGTTTCCGACTAGTGTGTTTAGCGTCCTCTCTGGCTCATAAATCAAAAGTTGTCTCGAAGTGGGCACGAATGATGTCACAGAAGCCGTCGCGTCAGGTTGTGGAATGTTGTCACCCTGGCGATTGGTGCTAGAAGTTCCGGGAAAAAGAACAAGCGAACGCGAGTGCCACTGTCGTCGCGGCTTCCGAACTCCTAAAAGATGAAACGTCTGTGGACTCTGAAGCTGTAGAGCGACTTACAGTAAAACAGGCGTCTGCCACGTCCACGACCGCTGCTGTGTCACCGCTAGGATCGCGGCCGGCGACATGACAATCCTATGACATTATCGGGCGGAAAACGAGAGGCCACTTTTTAGAGCGCGTTAAACATACCATCGAAGACGCGTTCCGGGCACTATATGGTTATGCTGCGACACACTCATGCCTGGTTCTTACTAGCACCACTAATAAGCAACGCTTATCATATCGGAACTGCATTCCCCGATTGTCTTGTGGCCATTTTAGCGCTTAGTGCAAAGCGGACGTGACACACCTATCTCACTATGCGTTCCACGCATGCGTGACGCCTCTATAACGTTAGTCCACGGGAGGTAATGCGCGAAGCAGCTCGTGCCATCCCGTACCCTGCCATATAAAAGAGGCTATAACCCTGCTAGCGGAAACCAGCATTGAAGTTGTCGCGCGAGCGGAAAGACTGAAGTTCCCGCATACGTTGTGGCAGCAGCGTTGTAACAAACAGAACTGGCTGGCGAGATCAGTCTGTTGGCGATAGTGCCCATTGGGAAACGCAACTTCCTGAATTTTAGATATGGCGCCAGGGAATTCAGAAAATATCGTCTTGGTCTGTTACGGTTTAAAAATTCTGAAAAACGGCAAAACGTCTCCTGAGATTAAAAAAAAAAGCTATAGAGAATTGAGAATTATGATTTTAAACACCAAGCTCGCTGATGTGTCGTCCCTCTGAGAGTAGTTTATTTAGCGACTCCAGCTCATACATCTACGCTGGTTTGATTGCTTTGGTTGAAAGGCAGTGACGACAGAATCACGGCGAACGTCGTGCGCCATACAGTCCATTCCAACAATCGCCTTTTTTGCGCTGTCATTTTCTTATACTTGGCTGGGGAAGGCTTTTTGAGCGTAAGTAGTAGCTCTCTTCTGCACAACATCAGGCGCCGCGCATGTGTCTATAGACCAGTGACTCGCATTTCGTTTGAGCGTAAAGCGCCGGGAAGATGTTTACCTCGCGCACCGGCGAAGTTTCTTTTTTGTTAAAGCGTAACGTTAAAACTAAATACACCGACTTGTCAGAGTAATCAAAAATCAAATTTATTAAACGTTTCGCTTGTCACCACAGCCTGCTCATCACACTCTACACTCAAACATCACTAGACATCACCGGACGTTGCACTACATCATCACACTCTACACCCGAAGATCACTGAGCATCACCGAACGTCACACTACGTCGTCACACCCTACATCCGAACATGACGAACATCACACTACATATTCACACCCTACACCCGACCGTAATTGAACAATGAACATCACACTACATCATCACACTCCACACCCGAACGTCACTGAATATCCCCGAACATCCCATTACATCGTCACACCCTACACACGAACATAACACTACATCTTCACACTCTACACCCGATCATAACTGAACATCACTGAACATCGCACACATCGTCACACTCTACACCCGAACGTCACTGAATATCACCCAACATCACACTACACCGTCCCACCCTACACCCGAACATCACGATTATCACACAACATCGTCACACTCTGCACCCGAACATCACTGAATGTCACCGAACATAACACTACATTGACCCACCCTACACCCGAACAATACGATTATCACACTAAATTATCACACTCCACACCCGACCATCACTGACCATCACCGAACATCACACTAGATCGTCACACCCTGCAACCGAAAATAACACTACGTCTTCACACTCTGCACCCGATCATAGCTGAACACTGAACATCACACTACATCATCACACTCTACACCCGAACATCACTGAACATCACCGAACATCACAGTTGATCGTCCCATCCTTGAAGATAACACTAGATCGTCACACCGTATATACCAGACAATAACTGAATATCATCCTGAATCATCACACCCTACACCCAAACATCACCGAATATCACCGAATATCACACTACATCATTACACTCTACACCCGAACGTCACGAGCATCACATTCTACACCCGACCATAACTGAACATCGCGTTGCCTCATTGAACTCTACACCCGAACGTTATGTTAAGTCGGTGTATTCATTCTTCTCAATGCCCGTTCACACGCTTGCGTTTGCTTACGACCGAGCTCTTGCGATCTCATATGACATGAGAACACACTGCCACGCTGGCGCCCTCTATGAGGTGACCCTGGAACTGCATTTCAATAGAGTGAAGGTTTTGCGGTACTTGCAATATCAAATGTACGTACGTACTATTTATGAGGAATGATCGTTTATAATATTGTCAAAAGTGTTTGGAGCCAGAAAAAAAATGATGATGCGGGGAAAAAAATGAAAACCGTTTACAATTCCCTGTAACGCCGGTTAGAGCGCAGCTCTTAAGGAGGAAGATGGAAGCGTACTGAGGGATAGGTGACTCCTTGAGGTCACGTGACCTCGAGGGGGTCACGTGACTTTGGGGGGTCACGTGACCTCAGGGGGTCACGTAACTTCTGGGGGTCACGTGACCTCAAGGGGGTCACGTGACCTCAAGGGGGTCACGTGACCTCAAGGGGGTCACGTGACCTTTGGGGGTCACGTGACCTCAAGGGGGTCACGTGACCTCAAGGGGGTCACGTGACCTCGGGGGTCACGTGACCTGGGTGGGTCAGGTGACCTCGTGGGTCACGTGACTTCTGGGGTCACGTGACCTGGGGGTGTCACGTGACCTAGGTGGATCACGTGACCCCCTTAGGTCACGTGACCTCGCGGTTACGTGACCCACCACGGCGACGGCGACGCCGACGCCGCTCAAGCCGGAAACGGGCCCCTATGAGCTGCGCTCTAAAAGTAGGAAATATACGCAAATGCCAAGCACTATACGACTGTCCGATAGATGGCACCAATGTGCTCTCTCGTCGTGATTTTAAAAGGTCTTAAGTCACCCGGTTGAAAGTCGTCGGAAGTGTGTGAACCAGCAGTTATCATGTCTTTCCGATCTCGGAGTATTTGTGTACAACGTATCATGCCCGCGCTGCATCTGTCGGTAGGTTCCTAAAGTCCGTGGAGGTGTACGACCCAAGCGAGGACACCTGGACGCAGAGTCCCGTGCCGCTCTGCTGCAAGATGTCCGCCTGCGGGGCCACCTTGCACAACGGCACCGTTCACATCGCGGGCGGCGTGGTGCAGTCAAAAAGACGAACCGACAAGGTAAGTTTTTTTTTTTGGAGGGGGGGGGGGGGAGGAGGGGGCCTGTGGGGGGGGGGGGGGGGGGTTCATGACGTCACGTCCTGCGCGCTACTTCTGAAGCGGGGACTAAACTATCCCGCAGGTGTTTCTGGTGTCCTCGGTGGAGAGGTGGGACTCTACCTTCCAGCGCTGGCTCAAGGAGGCGACCGTCTTGCCAACCGGCAGGGGATCTATGTCCCTCGTCTCATTTCAGGTCGATAAAAAAAAAGAGTTTTATTCAAAATTGTTGAAAAATTTTAATTTGTATTGTTATAGATTATCTCATTCCAAAGCTATGCCGAGTGATAGAGATCTTAAATTGCTACCGTTCCTTGTTGCCCACAAATGTTAAGTTATTATTTTGAACTCTCTATTTTAATCTCACCTAATATACTGCCCTCAAGTTTGGGGTTCATCAACACTAACCAATATTAAAAAAATAAACTAAGTGCAAGCGTACTAGTGAATATTAACCATGTTTAATTAACCTGAGCCTAGAAAAGAAACATCAAAATCTAGAAGTAACAGGAAAAAGACAGGACGATCGACGTCTCAAACTCAGCTAACTCGTTTATTCACCTCTTCATTTAGTCTCAAATTTAAGGTCATCACCGCCAACACAGAAGGACGAGGCCTATGCAGTTCGAACGCAACAACCATCATCACTCAATAAAATAATGGGGACAACCTTCCAGTCGAAACGCTAAGGCAACATTGATCCCCCTTTAAACTTGAACAAAAATATAATTATCTCCTTCTATTCTAAAAATCGCGCGTCCGTCGTGTGTCCGTCCCTTTTCGTCCCAGTTCCCAAAACCTCCAAGTGTCCGTCCTCAAAACCTCTAAACGGCCTTGCAGTCAACTCCACTTAGAAAGAGAAAAAAAGAAGAAACCAAAGGAAGAAAGAAGTCTTTACTCTCATCCTGGACAGCCAGGACATGGATTCACTGTTCACTTTTCAAAACAAAACAATACCGCCATGAAAAAACAACAACAACGACATTACAGTCTTATAAAGTTTTTTTTTTATTGCTTCTGAACTGTAGCGAAGCCTGACTTATACAATTACCTGGAGTTTTTATCCGTACAGTCTTCTTCACTAATTTGTTTTCACGTTGAAACTTTCCTTGTGTATGATCTTCGTCTCCGACCAGAGTGCCATGCAGATATTACATTCGTGGATATGCTTCGCGATTACAGAGTTCGGTGCATTGATCTTCGCGTTTTTTTTTTAGTTCGTTTAACTAATGCATCGCGATGTTTGTTCTGCGCACTTACACCCACACTCTTGGGGTATTTCATAAAAAATAAAAAAAAAATAAACATTCTTGCAATTTACTGATATTTATCGATGGGCTTTTTTGCAGTAACTCACACTTGTTTGAAATGGCGTCAATGTTCTTAAGCTGAAATCCGAACTAAAAACCGTGTCAACTCAAACCTTCTTCGCACATCGCTTCAGGTTTTGAGAAATTTTGTGAAAATCTCATGAAAGCGGCTCCTTGAATTTTGTTTCGTTTCTTTCCTGCATTTGATGAACAATTCTAATTGCCGTTTGATAAAACAGCTGTCATACCCTACTATGATCATTAGTTTTTCACTGCCTTTCTACCGATTCAATGATATAATGGACACACGATTTTTTTAACGTGTTTCTGACCAAGGACTTTCCAATATCAGCCTTTACGGTCTTGGAGTGACAACTTCTTCTTGGCAACACCGGTTTCGAATTTTCTTTTCCGTACTCAAACATAACCATTAATTCACGTGAATATGTAACTCTAGGAAACTGTAGAACACCTTCTTTCGATGTACAGGGGGAACAGCGCACCCGCAGGACAGTCATTTAAATCAACATACACACAAAAGAAAGAAACACTTACTCAGCGCTGAGTAAGTGTTTCTTTCTTTTGTGTGTATGTTGATTTGAATGACTGTTCTGCGGGTGCGCTGTTCCCCCTGTACATCATGAGCAACCGACTCGCCCGAACCTCTGTGTTAACAACCTTCTTTCGGTTTGTCCACGGTAAACTTCAATTCAGGAGCCGTTGATCTTATCCCACCTCATAGACTGTCGGATACACCTTCCGTAAAAAGTGCATTTCAGGATGTCATCTGCATATCTTTTCACAATTGTCATACCCGGGTTTATCTCCTACAGTTTATCATGCACCACACGATTAAGAATTTAGTTAGACCTCCGCTGAGATCTAGCGACTGGCGACCCAATAAAACACCTGCTTTTTGTATCTGCTTCTTTCCTTCGTACGCCACTACCGATGACTTCAGATAAAACTTCAGGATTGTTAAAGGGACCATGAAGGTAGTTTCGAAGTTTTATTCGACGATTGAAATGGATGTCAGGCACGTTTCAGATACTGTTGACCAAGTTCTAGCCCGAACAGAAGTTTGGGTGCCGTACCAATCGAGCAAACAGGCGCGGTAATAATAGCGCCGGGAACGATGCCTGAGACCCCACCGAGGCGGCGGCAGAAAGGTGAACTAAAGTGCGCCGTCGAAGCGTGACGACAACGTGCTCCTCGTCTGGCGATTGGTTCAAACGATAGACGCGCTCTTGGTTTCAATTTCGGTGGTGAGACGTGATGAAAAAAGTGTATTTGAACGTTGGATAATCTTTTGAAGTTGTAGTTGGGAATTAATCGGTTTCATACCGTGCATTAAAGCATAATCTGAAGCGATCCCTCCGTTTGTCACTGGTTGAACGCATCCCGCATGGCTACCTCGGGCGCGTAAGAAGCATCGAGCAACCATGGTCAAAAAAAAAAAGAAAAAGAGGTACGAGCGCCGGGGGCGGCCGACTCTTGGTTTTGGTTTTGTGCGTCGTCCCGTGTTCACTTTGCGAACTGGTGTCTCACCAATCATGCCGCGTTTATGTGCAGTAGTAGGTTGCGCGAAAGGTCGGCTAAAGACGTGCGGTCAATCGGGCGACGTTAGTTTGCATAACCGATGCAGCAATGCGCAGCATTTGGTTGCGCGCCGTCGTCTTGCGTAGAGCTGTGGACAGCGGTGTCGGGATTTGTTCGTTGCATTTCTGACCAGAAGACTTTGAGCAGCACCTTCACGTCAGCCGGAGTCTGGGTAAAAACATGAAGTTTCCGCGTCTGAGGAAAGCGCGGCGTTGTCGTCCATTTCTTCCAGGTTTTCTTCACAGACCGCCGTGCACTAGAGCGAACCACGGGAACCTCACTGAGTGTGCACTAAATCCTACCGATGCCGACAGTGCTCCCTGACATCACTTCTCTTTCCAGAGGCGAAAAAGGGAAGAAATCTGAATGTTTGTTTCGGTTTCGCAAATTTATTTGCAGGTACAAAAATAAGAGTCACAACGTTCTAGAAAAAACTGTGTGGCATGCTAGGACCCCAATGCTTCCAAAAACACCTTCTTTAAAAAAAAAAAAAATTAAATTGCCTTCATGGTCCCTTTAAGAAACTTTCTACCGACACACATGAACCCGATTGCAATTTTATGAGATTCAACCCCAATGCCTCTCTCACACTCTGCATCAACCAAGTCTTTTCTAGGGAATAGTACTAGGTCCTTAATATCCATCGATAACACTGAACAATGCGTCCCAGGATGAGTTTCCAAAACGTAAATCAATTAATTTGAATTTATAAGGGACATCAACTTCTCCAAGCATGCGTAACTCAACCCTCGTTGAAACAACTGTGAGACCCATTTCTTCCATGTTCCGCTCTCATTAATGACCGCATGAATGGGACATTTCAGGCTTATGGTTTTTTATGAAAAACTTGATACCTAATGTCGAGTTTGTTACGCTCGTAAGACCATTTTGCTACGTCTTTTAATTCATCCTCATTCAGGACTGCATCCCCAAATGTTTTTTTTTTTTTAACTTTCTAATGTTCCCTACCCATTAAGAAAACAAGGATTCCATTGCTGCTTCTGTTTTTTTTTTGTTTGTTTGTTGATACTGCCCTAGATAAAACTGCAAACCATCCCAACTTATCGCTTTCCAACTGTGTTAAGCACTTCGTTTGCAGCTGCTTCTTAACCGTATTAACCTCTCTGAAATTCCTTTTGTCCTTTGGGTACCGTATCACCCATGACCTCCTCCGTCCTACTGATTGCATGATCTACAAAAGCGACCTTTTCTTCCGGTTAACCAATTTGGCAACTTTATGAATGGAAGACAGCACGTGATGACTCGAAGGTTTCAAATTCAAACAACCCTTCGGTCCCTTAGCCAGCACTTCCTTCGTCCTACGTGAAAAAAAAATGTTCCCCTACGTGGGTTGACAATAAACTGTCGGGATGCACGCCATGCATCAGTAAGAAAACGCGATTTCCGATCCCCATAACCACGAGATTTCAAGTTTTTGATACTGTCCAGGACATGCCTGCGCTTCATACTTCATAGCCGGTCAAACAGGTTTTTTTGGTGCTGCTCTATTGGTGTTTTTTTTTTGGTGGTGATGACCTTGAGTTTGGTACTATGAAAAAGGTGGACTAAATAAACGGATTAGCTGAGTTTGAAACCTCGCCCTGCCGTTTTTCTGTTCCACGTTTTGATGTTGCTCTTCTTCCCCAGTTTCAGGTTAATTCAACATGGTCAATATTGAAAGGTAGTTTTTGTATGGCTCTCACATTGTTGAAGTATTTAGAAAATTTAAGATATTTACTATCTACATATTATATGAATATAGACTATGCGCCAGTTCGAGAAGAGAAAAAAATAAGGGGCTCAAGATTTTTTTTTTTGGAAAACCTTGCGTCCTTGGAGGAAATTCACAACCATACCTCACTCGCCGGTAGGGAAGTAGAGGATGGCCATTCAGCGAATGAACTATGGTTTTTAGATGCTTAAATTTGCACTCGCACATTTGTTTAATAATTTCTTCAATAATAATGTGGACTTCGAATGTATAACTTTTAAAGATCTGCGCTTTTATTTTTTGCACCTAATTTTTATTTTTTTTGGTTTTGTTTTTTATAATACGTTGAAATACGGAGCTATCTAGTTATGTGAAGTTCAATTGTTTCTTTCTGTCTGTCTCTGTTTGTGTGTGTGTGTGTGTGTGTGTGTGTGTGTGTGTGTCTGTGTGTGTGTGTGCGTGTTACGTTTTTCTGTATTTCCTACATACTTGCAGCTGTACATTGTAAGGATCCGAGGCCCAGTCAAGCTCATTGCAGCTTTTTTCCTCGTGCCCCACCATCATATTCGATGGGAATAAAAGTGTATTTTTATATTTATTTAGTGAGATAAGCCGGAGTTTATTTTTTTGAAAGGCTCTTTGTAGTGGAAGGGAGAGAATGGTGAATAATTCCCGGGTTCATGTTCACGTCACAGAAAAATCACAAGCATGCACCGACTCTTCCTGCTGATAGTTTAACGGCAACTGGCTTTTTGGTGATCGTTCCGGATGCTTCCTCGTTCTTGTCTTCTTGACTCTCGCTGTTTGAGATTCAATAAAGGGAAATAGAGACGTTCAAAACCAGAGTAACGCTTCAAATAGAAGCGCCTGCGTGCCGTGTGCTATGGTTTAATTTTTTTCATTTATATTTTTCATGATGGTTAGCTGTGTCTACACCACGGTGGCAACTTTAGTTCAACTACAAGCAAACGTTTACGCTGTATGGCACACGGACAGCCTGATTTGCGAAATGACACTTTCCAAAATCAATTGCGGCGATGCAGGAAAAAAAAAGACTACTTTCTTATACGGACTTGAATAAGTAAAGGCCCTACTAACGGTAAAATTAGGAATGAAGCAACCAAAAATTTTGTTTTGGCAGGATTGTATTACTGGTGGAGGTACTAAGGTACTGGTGCAGTAAGACATATAGTTGTTCGATAGATGCTTGGTTTTGTAAATCGACTTTACTGCAGTAAAGCTGCGGTCAGATTTCTAACACGTCATACAAAAGAGTCTGTAGGCAGCGTGTGAGGCCCGCTTCCTCCTTGTATGCGGGTCCTGTCACATTAATCGTGCAAAATCTTCCGAAAATATGTAGCGAACATGGCATGTTTTTGTATGGCGTATGAGCAGTGTGCCTTCAGCTTAAGAGAAAGTTGCGAAGTCTTCGCACACGGCCATGACACCTTTTATCAGCTTGCGATATACCGGGTCTAGACCCGAGCGTCCCTTGTACAAATAGACGAGAATAGGTTGGAAACCAGATGTGTGTCGCTCAAGCGCGGAGCGTGTTCCCGTGCGCAGGACCAGCTGCTGTCGGTGGGCGGTCTGACCCGGGACGACGACGTCCAGCTGAGCGTGTGCGCCGACGTGCTGTCGTACAACCGCAATCGCAACGTCTGGGACGCCCTGGCCCCGCTACCGGAGCCTCGGCACGGCGCGGGCGTCGTGAACGCCGACGACAGCCTGCTGCTCTTTGGCGGTCTCAAGAACGTCAGCCAGACCGAGGCGAGCGCCCAGGTGCTGGCCTACAACCACCGACAGGTGGGTGTCCCGGAGCATGCGTGTATCGGTACACTATACGGTCCCCATGAAAGTTCGCCCGCTCCTTACACACCTCGTGCGTTTGTTCCCCCTCCCCCCTCCCTACCCTTCTCTTTATTACACTTTGATTGGCGGGCCCCTCCTTGCGTTTCGATGCGCCTGTCTAAATCTGGAACACTTTCTCGCCGTATAACAGTCGGCATTCTCCTTGGCTAATGCCTAAATCTCGTTGGCTGCGAAGCGTTAATGAGATGTTTTGATCTCACCACGCCCTGCGCTTGTTAAGCTGTCGGCGACCATAGTGACTGGCAGCTTAAGATCGCACCACCAGCATAAAGCGATGACGTCACGTCTGAGCCATGTTTAGGGGAGGGTGGGAAGCAAGGGGACGGCGGGAGGAGTGGGACAGTCAACACATTTCTTCACTGGGTAGTTCCAAAAAGCTGATGAACTGCTTGACTCATGACGACGTGGTAGCAGTACTTTAAACTTTAATGGGCTGACTGCGTGACGCGGTGTACACGATTTGAGTCACTGGTTAACACTTCGACACTCGAAAGCAGGTAGTACACATCTTTTTTTTCTCGGTTCTTGAACCAAAATGGTTTGGCCAACGGCTGTAGTAAACAAGCCTTGAAAATCTGGGTTATTAGGTTGGTTTTAACCACCGCTTTTTCAAGCCTTTCTTCTCACCTGTTGCCACAATTAGCAGCTTATCGTGTCCAAGGCAGCTTGGGAGGAATCGGACAGTCAGATGGTGAAGGGAATGGGGCAGTGTCTCAGTTTTCCCTTTATAAAGAATGGCGCTCTTACTGGCAGATCAACACTAAGGTTGCTAAGGTTATCCTGAAGTAATGGTGACTCATATAATTTTAGTTCATAAAGCATTTAGGCCACCAATTATTTGCTTTTGCGTGAAATGTTACCGCACTCTTAATTCCCAGTCCAAAACCGCAGACAATCGGAGGAAAAAAGACGACTGCAATCGGGCTTCATATCTGATGAAAACCCGTCGGCCTCAATATTCACTAATACAATTTTTAGCGCAAACTTGCATGTGTCCCATTCCTCTCTGGGGAAAAGGTGGAACGGAACACATTTTATTTATTTCTTAACTTATTCGCGACCTACATTTTGCCCTGCAAGCATTATCTTTTTTTTTTTTTTTTTTGGGGGGGGGGGGGGGGGTCAACATGCACATAAACACAACAAATACACAGATCGAAGTGCAAAAATAGCAACAGATGTTCACATCTGCTTTAAACTATACAATGCGCAATCACACACAGAAGAAAAAAACTTGAACACAACATACAAGTATCTACTACAAGCTGCTAACATCAGCACAATGCAAAACAATATGTGTCATGGTTCATTCTCGTGTAAGTAACGACTCAGAAGACAATAAAAAGTCTCATCCGAAGCCGAAACCACAGCTTCAGGCAGTCTATCCCACTGATTTATTGTTCGTGGGAAGAAATGATAATTGAATAACAGATGTGCAGCATGCTATTTCTTGTTTCCTTTTTTTTTTTGTGTGATATAATCTGGAAGTAAAAGTAGGGGGTTTTAGGTAAATGTTACTTTCAATACCGGTACGGTCACGAACTACTTTATTCGGAAAAGAGAACCTTGATAACCTCCGGCGAAGTTCAAGTGAGTCCCACGGCAATGATATTTATAATGCCGTGACACTGATATCAAAATGATAAGAGTTAGTAACAAAACGGACAGAGAGCTTTTGGATGGTCTCATGTTTATTAATTTAGGTTTTAGTGTCGGAATCCCGTTCTACAGCCGCATATTCTAATAGGGAACGTACGTACGTTAGGAATGTTTAGTATTTCTTTGACGTCGCGGGTCCTTGTTTAAAGTTTTTCTTTATAAAGTTAAGTACACGTTCGGCTTTCATTGTTATAAATTCAACATGACTACTTCACGTAAGGTTATATGAAAAAATAACTCCCAAACACTTCACATTTTTCGCAAAGGTAATCTGATTTGTATCTAGATAGTAATTAGCCTGTATGTTTAGACGCTTTCTGCTGAAGTGGATACAATGACATTTTGCAAAATTCAGCTTCATTTTCCATTTGTTGCATCATGTGAGTATTTGATCAATCATCTTGGTTATTTATGCCCCTGTATAACACACAACCATCTGCATATAATATTATCTTGGAAATAGTTCCGTAGCCTGTATTATTTATATAGGTCAAAAACAGAAGCGGACCAAGCACTTGCAATTATGTTTTTACATTTCTAGAAATGTTAGTACCAAGTGATGTTAATGTGATGTGAATACTTTTAACGCTACATTTAGGGCCATTAATCTTGTTTCTATGTGCCTCATTTAACTGCACAAAACATATAGTGTGAAAACTGTCCTATTTGACCCCACTATGATATGGGTCGGTCGTTTCTTTCGGAAAGATGTCTCAATGGAAAATTTTAGCAAACCGTTACCGTGTTCCGCGTACCGCACTACCGGAGCCTTTCAGGCATGCTTTTTAGCGCGCGCCTCGCGGTCACGGCATCAACCGGGCGCGCGCTTAAAAGCGTGATTTAAAGGCTCCCGCAGTGCGGTACGCGGAACACGGTAACGGTTTGGTAAAACTCCCAATTGAGTGCGACGTGTTGGACCCGTGCAGGATCTGTGGGAGCAGGTGGCCTCTCTGCCCTGCGGCCTTGCGGGCTTTGCTGTCGTTGTACTGCCGCCTAGTGGACGTAACTCGGCTTCGTCTAAGGACTGGTCCGTCTTCAGCTAACGATGAGGATCCTGCCCCTTCGACAGCCCATCGACCTCGGGAGGCGAAGTAAAAAGAGTCAATCAAAGAGTTTCTTTCACTTGTCTGCCGTGTTTCTTCTATGAAACATACAACCAAAGCACCCTCGAGCCACGGGTATTTTTTGCAATGTTTAAGGAGGAAGCGAAAGTCACAGAGAGGCGACCCGATAGAACGGGCATAGCGGTAGAATCCAAATGCAGTCCAAAATCTTACTGCTCGAAGTGTCCTCACTTGAAGATTAGGCGTCTCTGGACCATTCCAATATACGCCTTTTGCGCGCTGACATCTTCGTATCATGTAGAACGTGTTCTGAGCACGCGCAGTGGCTCCCATCCGCGCAATAGTAGACGCTGAGAATACGTCCACAGCAGTTTTTCCGCCCGTGTGATAAGCGCCGGAAAGGCGTGTAGAAACCGTTATTTGTCGACCCGAGAAATATTCAGCTCATGGTAATAAAAACCAGAGACTCAGGAACACATAAGGGGACGAACATAACACAATGTTTCAATCACCACCAGCTCGCTTGTTTTTTTAAGTATTGTTACAAATCTTCAGTTGTATGCTTTCCGTAGACATGTGCTTTTGTCGCTTGCTATAGAGATTAAGAGTATGACACGTTTCAACCGAGTTATGTCTGGTTTGTTTATAAGTAGTGGTTGTTTGACTGAACTAGGAAAGCGCACAGCCAAATGAAGAGAACAGATCCTTCCTGAACATCGCGAGCGTCCGCGCTTGGAAAATATCGATTAATTTTGAACAACCATTTGGAAATAAAAAAAAAAGAGTACTACTTCCTGCCTCAGAGCGGATAAAGTATTATTATTTACAGAAATATTGTTGATGCCACGCCAAAAAGTGACGCTGGACATAAAACTGGACATGCTCAGATGATTCGGCTTTTCAAAGAATAACTCCCGCGCGTGTGCAGTGCGAACAGCAACCGGTAGCGAATAATCTTATCCATAAACAATGCACCACTTCATTACTTACAAACCCACGGCCGAGCGTGCACAGTCCAACACGCGCATATTTGTCGCCTCAGAAAGCGAGAAATTGACGCGCCCTCGATCCTCTGACCGGTGCCATACTCGGAGTTGGTGCGTGTGGCGCAGACACGTCATGGCTACTGCCCCTCCTGGTTGGTCCGCTACGCAATTTGACGCCGTGGCCGGTGTGCATTTGGCGCATCCTTAACTTGTATCCGACTACGAATTGTCCTAATCTTAGAAACGAGCCTACTACAACACCTTGGTATGGTGACATAGATGTGTTTGTATTGTCCAAAGACTGGCGTATATCTGGACACTGCGCCTAGCAGTATCGGGGCCCACAGGGAGCATGGGCCACTGGAGGCTTTGTCCTGCTGACCGCCAAGAAGTAGGGCACGGTGAGTTGGTAGAGGACGACACCGTAGCCAAGCGAGGCGCTCAGCAGCCGCACCAGGCAACGGCCGTCGGGCGAGAAGAAGCCCAGGGCGTCAGGGTTGTCCAGCATCAACGGCGCCGCGTGCTGACCGCGCGCCCGAAGAGCGTTACTCAGACTTCTCTTGAGCGACCCGGCCGCCCAGGCCACCAGGACCAGGGTCCACACGTTGTGCAAAACCTGGGACAAGAAGGGTTGGGATCTTTGCCGCCAACGTTCGTCATTGCCACACTCTGAAACCAGTGCCACAGGGTAAAGTTCAATGTCAGTTTCGTCGCATGACTCTGATCGACCAACCAGCGCGAGCCACTCCTGGCGCAGCTCGAGGCACGAGCGACACTCGTAGTCGGGAGGCATTCAAAACGCTGAAAATCGAAATGTTGATTTCTCAGAATGCCGAAGTTTAAAACACCGAAAATTCAATACCCCGAAATTTCAAAAAGCCGAAATTTCAAATAGCCGAAAAGTCAAAACACCGGAACATCAAAATGTCGAAACATCAAAATGCTGGTATTACGCTGGTATCACCTAGCTATAACAGGAGATACATTTTCTTGGCAATGTAATCAAAGTTAGGGGAAAGGTTGCGGCCGCCGATGCGCACGCGCTTTCGTTCTATTTTCTAATAGCCATGAAATGTTAGCCCTGAATATAGAGCCCTTTGAATAATTCAAGCTTTAAGAAAAGGAAAACTATTTTCTGCATATCTTGTCGCTAACCGGAGCAATTCTTTCTTTGCATTTCAGACGGATAAGTTGTGTGCAATTCTACGAAGATAGCTTAGAACGTCGACAATGTCCCGGTTTCCCAGAGCAGCTGCCAAAAGATTTTCGCGCACCTCTTGCTTCTTGCTTAGTGGACGGCGGGGTTGTCTACTGATCGCTCCCTCGATGTCGTCTTCGACTGTAGCTTGCTTCCTTTTCATGGTGGTGATGAGCTTGAAGACGCTTACGTGGTGCCCGCCAACCAATGTCTCCCATCGTCGGTGCCATGCCTCAATGGAGCTAATGCCTCTTGGAAACCCGTTCTCAGAGTGCGCAAGCACATTCCAGAGGGATGGCGAGAATACCGGTGGACCTCGTTAGATAACGCTGGAGTTACTTCTAACGATACGGCCAACACGGCGGCGTGATTTCCCAAGCAGGTAGTTGTCCCAATACCATCACGGAAGAACAGACGCTTCTTGCGGGAAGGGTGGTTTCAAGGATGCATAGGCGTCTCGCACTTCTTTGGTGGGCAAGAACGAAAGGGCAGCAAGCTGCCACATCTTGATGGCGACGCCATCCCCCCATCTACATTATTTTGGTAAAGAACTGACACTCCTAGGTGCTGCACCCTCCTCCATACTGATTGGCACAAGTGGACCAGACAAGCATGCACATCCGATGACAGGAGCAACGACCGAATAGCGTTGATTGCTGCCAATTCAAAGTTTGTACTCACGGCTTTGGAATGTAGTGCAAAACCAAGATCTGCGGCGAAGTTTAACACTTCTTCGAAGTGCCTCGTTTGTCATCTGGGTTCGTCGAGTCATGAAGCAGTAAACCAAAGGGAACATATGGCCATGAAGATAACCGTGAATTGTGTATTATCGAAGAGCGGCGAATAAATGTTCCCCACCATGAGCTACATCGGAGTGTCATTCAATTTCTTCCAAGTTTTCGTCTGTGAAAAAAAATAAAGAACCGAGCTCCATCTGCGCTGGTGCAGTCGCACTACAGTAACTCCCGGTTGTTTGAACCGGGAGTTACTGTTGTTTTGAACTCGCCCTCGATGATGAGCGCCTGCGCAATAGACGGCTCGCGTGGGCACTCCGCTTTTCTCTTTCTTCTCAGTCTGGCGCAAGGCTTCATTGCTTGGAAGGTGTTGCTTAGAAGACGCTGCTACATCTGCCGTGACTTGCTGCAAAATGTTCACGGCTGCCTCACGCGAGCCCGCCGCCAGAGCTTTGATCTGTTCTTGCGTAGAAAGAACAGTAACCTGCGGATATCTGGAGCACGACTTGTGTGGGTCACTCTCTTCGAGATGATCTTGTGAATACCTTCAACAGGAAGGTCGGTAATCAGTCTAGCGCCGAATTCGCCTTGCTTTTCGCACCTCCAATAGTGTTCAGAACCCACTTTCTTTTCAAGTACGTTAACATAACTGTCTTTGCAACTAAGTTTCTCTTTTCTCTTCTGAGCACAAAACTATGTCTTCGTTCATGTCCCTCCGAATCAGTGAAATGATTACTGCCGCACATTGCCGCTTCTCTCGTACTCTCAACACTGGGCAGCGCTGCTTTTTCCGCTGACCAATAAGAGCTGTATTGTCCGACTGCTATGCTTAGGTTTACAACAAATAGCAAAATACGAAATTTTACATCTGCTTAATCTACATCGATACTGGTTTCTTTGTAAAACGATCTAAAAAGGCTCGTGTCAATGGAAAGTGCTTTGACGTAAAACGAACAAAGTGGAAGTGATAAAGCGCGTCGTTTGTTTTTTGCCTTTTGTAGTTTTCGGCCTTATAATTTTTCGACATTTTGATTTTTCAGGATTTCAATTTTTCGGGCTCTCTGACGTTCGACCGTTTTATAAATCGGCCTCTCGATTTTCGGCTTTTTTTAGGGACGCCTCGTAGTCAGGATTACAAGCTCACGCGCGTTTCACGTCCAGCGAATTTGCTCCTAGAGCGGTGCGATGTCCGCCACCGCGGCGCTGCGGCCAGCCTCAGCGTGAGAGCGGCGCGATTCCAGAATACTTAAAAACGAAAGAATCAAAACATAAAAGACGTATACACGAACGACCACACTCTGTCAAATAGCAAGTTGCTATTTGAGGAACGTCTTTTACGTCTTTTACGTTTTTATTTTTTCGTTTTTAAGTATTCATTATAACAACGCGCTCGAATTAGCTTATACTAGATTCCAGAAGGTCAGAAATCTTTCGCGACAGCAGAGCGGCAGCATCCGCGATGGCCATTCATAGCACGGCGGAGAACCACGTGCCAGGAGGAGAAGCATGACGGGAAAGCTTGCGCAGGATTCCGCATTTTCACGTTTTTCAAGCAGACGACACGCAGAGAAAATACGCAAGCGCTGGTTTTCGGTTTCCTTTTTTTTTCATTTTCATTGGTGGGTTTAGCTTCTTTGCTTCAGCGGTCGCGTCGGAACTTTTCGGGAGATTGAGGAGGGGGATTGTTCTCCCCTTCATCCGAATATTTTGCGAGGAATGCCTGCAATGTTCGGGCATATCCTTCTGGGGCCGATTGCCCCCCCCCCCCCCCCTCCCCCAACTCTTCCTACCCCCCCCCCCCCCCTCCCACTGTACCGACACTGTTGTCCTTGCAACTGTGCTTGCCAAGTTGACGTCCCCATTTCCTCTTCCCTTCAGACACCTCCCCATGTTGGTGTGGTGTCTGAAGGGCCCGAATGGGACGACTGCACACAGGCGCGGCTGACACGAGACTAATCGGTTTAACCTTTAGTAAAGAAGAGGAAGTAGAAAGGGAAAAGGAGAGAAGAAGAAGTGACCGTTTAAGATGGTTAAGTTGTTTAGGAAAGTAAAATTAAAGAAGAAACCGAAACATAAGGCTTTCAGATTGTTATTCGAGACCGCTAAAACTCATTGTGCGCGTCCACTTGCTGCAAGTGGCGTTAAACGTCGCAGTGAAAAAAAAAAAAAAAAAAAAAAAAAACGTTTATGGACAACACATGTGAAGTGAGACCATGCAATTTGTGCTGCGCAATCACTACATGTGAAACAGGTATGATTCGTCGATCACTTAAAGGGACCATGAAGCGATTTTCAAGAGAAGTTTACAGACTGCGTATCGTTCAGGGGATCAAAAAGATACTAGCCCGCGAAATTAGGAAAGCTATATA